AAAAAAAAAAAACCAAACAAACAAACAAAAACAAACAAACAAACAAACAAAAAAACCCTATAGATATGTGAGATATAAACTCCTTTCCTACACTGTATCAGTTAAGGAAGCTCTAAACACTGATGAAAAATGCTTTTTGGACTTTGAGAAAAATATATCATATAAAGGTGCACATATTCAGTGTATCTATTTCATTTTCAACATACGGTGCCTGCCTTATTTCTGCAGAAAAATGAACTATTTGTGAACAGAAAAATCACTGTTGTTTACTTGCATCGGAAAAATTAATGGAAATAATGTATTCAATTACTTAATCTTGGTCTAACATAACATTAAGAATACTTTAATTCATAACAAATTGTGTCATTAACTGTAGATTCCCATTTATTCTATTTTTCTTCTAAGGGCAGATCACTCTAACTCAATAAAACTACCCTACAAAGAGAACTCTTTAGTGTGCAGTGTTTAGAGCTTCCTTAAGGACAGATGATACAAACAAACTTTTATCAAAAATCTTGAAAATAACAACTGAAGTCATGTTTATATAAGTAAAATGATTAGGTTTAACTGCATGATTATTATTTTTTATTCAACGTTTTACAAAAATCGATTTAATGTGACGAAAAGGTACATAGATTAATAAGCATAGTTGCAGAAAGGTTGCAGAAAGGTAGAATTTTGAACAACAAAAATTTATACCAAACCAGGTATCCCTTTTTTGTTTGTATCATCTGTCCTTAAGACCATCTATTTCATAGTGGAAGGTCTATTATTACAGTACTCCTTTCCTGTGTTATCCATTGTGTTATTTTGACACTCATTTGTCTAATTTCAACAACCTATGACATGTGAACATAGTCAGACTTGTCTTTTGGAATCGCCCAAATTCTAAAATTTTCATCTGATTTGAACTGTTCATTTGAATTCTTCATAATGTCTCAAATGGACAAAATATTTATCAACTAAAGTATTTTAAATGTTTACCGCTATTTTTAAAGTTGCTTGGTCCAATTGTTATAGTCAAAATATATTTCTGGTTTGTGAAAAAATAATTCTCCGTAGAAAGTTTCCACTTTCATAAAATGATATTCTCAGCGTAGGTTTCTTTTAAAAGATTTTACTAAATTAAAGTTTGAAAATTAACTTTTGTTGGGTCACATAAAAATAAAGAGAATGCAAAGCTTGCATATGTGCAGTGGCTTTGTAAACAAATCGCACGATGGAAGCCAATTTAAATGAATACGTGGTAGTCCTAATTCTCTAACTGACTCTGGGCATCAAAAAGAGAGTTAAAATGAAAAAAGGCTGAAAACGTTAACAGTGTATTTATATGGAAAGCCCACAGGGGGTACCTTTGGATATCGCCAGGGCTGAACTGCAATTCAGTACAAGATGCAAATAATTAAAGTGTTTTTAATGTTACACGTAGCTCCTGGAGGTCTTCTACATGTTTGTTTTGTCAACATGGTTTTTGACTGAGATATCTCTTAAAAATATTGTTGTTAGCCAAAAAATCCAGTCACATGATTCATTTTTTATGCATATTCTATGTATACGTGTATACATAGAAAAAAAAATTGTGCGTCTCAATCGGACCAGACGATTAAACTTATCACTTAAAGATGATACTTTCAATGACCGTGTAAATTCTTTAAAAGGATAGATCCATCTTTGATATGCTTATATGCATGAAATCAGAATGTTGTATATATATATATATATATATATATATATATATATATATATATATATATATATATATATATATATATATATATATATATATGTATTAGGGATGTCAATTTTACTCGGACAGCTTAGTCGAATAGTCGGAGGCTTTTGTCGAACGATAGTCGAGTACTCGTTGAAATTTGAATTAATTTTTCATGTCATTTTTCCTATTTGTCTTTAACAGCCTGTACATGTACAATATTTAATTTACGCTATCACCATTATACAACGAATTATTGAATCGTTAACATTTACGTAGTAATAAATTTATGTATCCAATGTATTTTATTTCAAATATAATATTTACTGCACATTTTATCAATATACAGAATATCAAACGCTCGCATTTATCCTTTCTTTTCATGCTGCTAGTACATGTACCTGTTGTTGATTTCTGACCTGAAACCATTTGAATGGGTCTCGTCAGTGACCCCTGATTGTTAAACAATTAAATTCTTATAAAAACAAAGAGAGCTTGAGATAAATTTTAATTATGAGATTTTTTTGCAAACAATGCAATTTTGAAATGATTGATATTAATAATTATTAGAAAGAAACACGCTCATAACTGTCCCCCAATTTACATGTTTTTACAAATATGTAACAGCTGTTTAATTATTATTCATTAATTGATAGTTGCATTATACGAGATTTTACAGAATTGCATGTTGAAACTTTACAATTTGGATTTGACAGTTTTTAAAGTATGCCAATGCATGTTGCCAGACAAAAAGATTCCTTTGAACAATTAAGGAAGACCGGTTAAGCCTTTCCCTGAGTTTTACTCACGAAAACACTGAACACTGATACGTTAATAAATGAACTGAGCATATCCAATTTTTTAACCTTGGATTTAAGATTTTAATTAAGTAACAAATTTTTAACGAATAACCGACTAAAAAAATTTTAGTCGATAATCTGTATGGTCGAACGATAGTCGAGTACTCGAATATTCTTTGACATCCCTAATATATATATATATATATATATATATATATATATATATATATATATATATATATATATATATATATATATATATATATATATATATATATATTAGGGATGTCAAAATATTTATTTTCTTTAGTCGAATATTCGATTGCATTATTTGAACGATAGTCGATTATATTCGAAACTTTTTTCGGAAACTAAAATTTTATTTCAAACTTCACTGGTACATCACATATTTAACCCCAAATCCCCCTTTTTTAAATTGATTAAAAAGTTACATCAAATGTTACAAACAGATGTTCACATGGACTTAAAATGTGGATAGCGTGTTTATATTTACTTAATATAGACCGATAATTTCTCCAAAATGAAGAATTTCACTGTCAATCATGTACATAAATCGGTCTGTAAAGTCGGTTTTTTAGGAAGCATAAAAAATGACAGTGTGTTATATATAATTTTAAATCTTATTCAAATGAGGGGGGGGGGGGCACATACAATGCCCTTGATAATGTTAAATATTTGAATATACTTTTTGTACCAATTATCAAAATGTCTTTAAAATATATAAAAGAATATTAATTTTAAAATAATTATCGTAGTGTCCAAACATGTCACGGCTATAATGGGTACATGGTATGAGATCAAGTCCAATTAATAGTTTTACAAAGAAATCGCAGTATGGCGAGATAATTTTATTATAAAAACAACACTGACATTAATTGACAAATAATTCTCGCGGAAGTGAAGTATTTCTAATCACTGTACTTTCTACATGTAAAGTCAGCAGTTTTTAATGAGGAAAACTATCTTATCGACTGTGTCTGAGGAAAGGCGGTTTCTCAATTTTAGGATGAGAATTCCATCTCTTTAACACTCTTTTATTGAATTTATTTATTCGAATGTCGTTTCGTTATTCGATCGTCGGTCCATTCGACTGATGGTCGAATAGTCGACTATTCGTTGACATCCCTATATATATATATGTAAAGCCAAAAATATCTGGTAGTCAGATTAAAAATTCATGCAATGATACAGACACAATGAATGAAGACACTGTTTTATTAAATAGAGCCAGATTGGACTTGAGCGTCTAGAGGAATTCTAAAATTAGATACAATTTCAGACAAGGTGATGGTTTTTCTCTTTTCGAATTCGAGAAATCAAAAATGCTTATTTTAAACTTTAAAAGAATTGTTATTAATGCTTAGAGAATCTTACATTTACCACTACAGTTCATCATTTAACCTTCCCAGTCCAATATTTTGACTCTTATAGTCCAACATTTAATCAAATATTGGACTGTAACTCAAATAAATAACAAAAGGGAAATCATACTTATTAAGATCCAAATCTGCGATTTTATTTTTAAAAATTAGCTGATGTCACATTTTCTCTGGCATAAGTTTTGGATTTCCTGAGAAAAATTGCCACCTTCAAGTCTGAAAAAGTGTCTGATTTTAGAATTGATCAAGACGCCCCCAAGTCGAAATCTGGCTGCAAATTCTCCATTCCCAAAATGCCTTCAAATATTGAATCTATATCATCCGATTTTTTTCACTCGATTTCCAATAGAAATTTTGAGTAAAAAAAAAATTCCATCAGGCCGTCTTTAAAAAAATGTCTGTTTGCCCTCTCCCCGCCGACTGACTAACGCTGGTCCGACTCAGATTGATTTTTTAAAACTTTTTTTTAACTTCCAGGAAAGATAATATTTTTATTCATGTTATTGATGCAAGTGTATCAATCAGTGGAAAAGTTAATAAGAATGAAAAATTTCTGAAATGTAAGGTCAGATTCAGATTCTTCTGAAACATATTATGCAACACTCACGTGACACATTCTGTTCATCTTGGATTAGTACATGTATTTATGCCGATTTCCATTGGAATACTTTGTTAATTTGTAAATATTAGTGTACCTTGCTCATTTACTAGAATGTTCATATTAAAAAAGTAACGGTGTCTGTTCAATTTATTTTCTTAATTACATGAAAGATTTCTCATTTTTTTTTAAAATCGAAATTGTTCTTTGTCGTTATTCTAATGTAGCTATCCTATTAGAAACCTACAGGTAATTTACCGGATGCAACAAATCTACATGGGATTTATTGGAAAGGATTCAACACGTCACAACAATGTTTTCTTACAAACATATTTTCCCCAAACGGGTTGCAAGGAATTGTTTATAGTGGTTATGAAACAGAACTTTGCATCTTTCAAAGAATTCTGAAAGGTTTCAATATTGGACCGTATGTTTTACAAACGTTCTTTCATAAAATAAATGTTGATAAAAAGTAAGAAAAAAAAGACAAGTAATTGAATAATCTGTATTTGATGACGCTGACAATACAAACAAACTAAATAAACGTTGTACAAACTGTTCTTTAAGGAAATCCTTTCTACAACTCTTCATTTCACCGAGAACGAGTCATTCTCTAAAAAACAAGTATTTTTCCTATTGCTTGACTTTTAATTGTTGTCACCGATTTTATTAATTACAGCAAATATCAAATACATTACTCCTGACAAATTGCCTCATTTGAATGTTTCACGATGGAAATAAACTTCACTGATCTGTGGTTAATAAAAAGCAAGAAACCCTTAATATTTGAACTTGTTTGTCATGTCCAGCTTAAAACATCGGATGAAATTACTAATCAGTCAGACACCCAGTGTTTGGCTTTTTCAATCGCTTTTGTCCATCGTTTACAAAGTCTTGTGCGTTCTGACAAAGGAAAAAGGTAAAAGAAGATATGTAAAAAGAACTAACACATGTCTGCAATATAATTTATGAAATGATGTTGCAATTGTCTTTACTGAATACTTATTATACATTCATAACTTGCTAGAATATTTTTATCAAATTACATAGAGCGTAAAATACACTGTATGTGTTTACCGTCATCAGCCATTGAAGGCGAAAAAGTAGTTTCGTGAATTGGAAAAGAAACATCGAGCTTCAATCTATCAGGAGATAAAGGGAAAATTTCTATCCCTTCGGCGGCCCCTGCCATTAAAGCAGCCCCAAATGCCGTTGCCTCAACCAAGGAAGACCGTACTATATTAAACATACAAGTAGCGGAAACATTTTTATGTTTATAAATTCTATTAACTTTTTCATTATACATACTCAATTTTTAAACATCTGAGATGATCAAGAATTTCTAAAAATGAAATATGGAGATAACGAACAGTATTCAAGCTCAAAGTCCATTAAACAATACAAATAGGGAGCAGAGCAAACACGGATCTCCAAAAACATCAGAGGTGGGATCAGGTGCCATGGAGGAGTGAACATCCCCTACCGACCGGTCACACCCGCCGTGTGCTCCTTGTTATGATCGGGAAATAACGGGAAAATCCGTCGAGAATTCAGTGTGTATATAATGGCCTAACAATTAGTAAGAAAAACGTCAGTCAGCATGACTTAATGATACATGTAGATTGTATTTGCTGACAAGATTATTGTATCGACCATAGAACTTACGAAATGATGACTTTAAATGAGACTGTTGATATTCTTGTTTCATCATCTTGTTAGTCAATAACTTACTTCGATTTAAAAATTGTTCATACGTAGAGCATGCTCTTGCGTATCGAATCAACTAATATACACCCAATATGAAGGTGATAAGGGTATATTGCTTCATAAGTAAGGGAAGTTGAAGATTTTTATATTTTAATATTAACCCAACAAGATGGAACTATTAAAGTTAATTACTAGCTTTATATATAAAATTGGCTTGGATTTCCCCTTACCTACTGTTTCATTGATAAAATTGGCTTGGATTTGCATCAGAAGATTGTTTACTGTCACTCCACCATCTACTTTTAGCTCAGGTATTTGTAAACCTGTATCTACTTCCACACCGTCCAAAATCTATCATTTATAATTAGATTCTCGCTTATTATAACATAACTTTTCAATATGGTATATGTACATGTAAAACTTTGAATTTCATGATGAATTGTTGGTTCTTCCAAAATGTGTGCACGTTTAACTCACGTCTTTCACCATGAAGGCCACAGATTCCAGAGCCGCTCTACAGATGTGTTCCTTCTGTGTGTACCCTGTCATTCCTACTATTGTTCTAGAGGGTAACAGAGTTGTTTATAACATTTAGATATAACAGTTAATCGTAAGACTAATTTGAATCAATTATAAGCCTAAAATGTGTATGTATTTTTTTTTACCTTAAATAGCAATGCTATGTTCTGCTAAGTGATCAAATTGTTATGCAAAGCTGCTTTATTTCTCTTACAGTTCGTGTATAATTACATACCAAATCAATAGATCCATTTCAGTGTAAGAATTAATACATTGTACATAATTTCATGATTTTATGATATAAAGGGTTTCTTTTTATATCTGTTGATACTGACTAAATGGTATGAATCCTGCAATCCTTCAAAGTATCACAGGGTATTAAAAAGGTAATGTTCGGTTACCCTCTGGCGTCATCCTCCCAGTAGGGACAAAGAAGACCCCCGAAGGCGGGAACAAAAAAGCAGTCATGTGACGATTCTACTGAAGCCGCTAAAGTTTCTGAAAATGGAAGAATTCAAAAACAACAAAAAATGCATTTTGAAAATCGATCAAATAGTAAAGTTGTTTTCATTGTTACAATTTGTCTATCATATAATTTGTGTTGGTACCGATCTCTTGGGCGGATTTGACGATTTGTAGATTGTCTCTTAACCATCGCATTAACTGTCCACATCCTTCAATGGCGCCCTACAACGAAGCAAGTACTTTTATTACCGTGTTTACTACACTTTTATCTAAATACTGTTTCATGAGTTGTCTTCACTTATCAAAATAGCCTCAATATCTAGGAATACTTTTATATTGTATGATACATTGACATAATGCTATAATATTCTTTAACGGTGTGCTTACCCAAAGGTTAAAAAGTATTGGGGCTGACTTTCCAAGTTGATAAAGTGGAGAGGTCATCATTCCACAGCTGGAATACACAGCCTACAAATCACTTAACATTATGCAATACACATTCATCAAATCAATTCACCTCATGCATATCTTTCAAATCGCTTCCAGTAAACAAAGCCTTACTGTCATTAGACATGCTTTATCTCAGAACAGTGCAATGAAAAAACAGAGAAAATAGGAATACGCAATTCTTTAATATGGCATTTATGGGCACGGCTGTATCATGTTGTAAATTTGAATTTGCTAGGGGAGGTAAATGCAAAATTTACAATATGATATTTTGCATTTACCCCCCCCCCCCCTTAGTAAATTAAAAATTAACAACATGATAGCTGTATATACAAACAAAATGGCTGGGCCGCCAACATGTCAAAGGGCTGACCCCAACAGCAAAAACAACATCGAAAGCTTATTCAACATCAAACGTTCACATTTTCAGTAATTTACAACACATCATTAGACATGCTGTAATACAAAACTTATCCTGTAATACGTAGTATTACAGTTTCTGGCATCCACATCATTTACAAAGAATAAATCCATTGCAATTGCACTGTTCAGTTGCTGATTTTTTTTAAATTTCAGAATGTTACATATTTCGGTTCTCCCTTTCACATAATAGAATCTATATGTATATGAAACGTGAAAGAAAACAACTATGTGTTCATATATATAATATTTAAATAAATTATATGTATGAAAAATTCAATAAATGATTTCTCACCTCAGTGCCCGTGTTTATATTTAAGCATCCTGCCGTCCCATATCTTAAATTGAAGAAAAAGTGATGCATTATAATTATGGTCAATAAAAATTCAAGCTGTTCATTTCATATAATCTAGTGAGAGAACAAAATGTTGTTACTAATGATTTGTATCAAAAGCTTAAAGATTGTGGTTATCTTAGGGAAAAAAAATAATAGAAAAGTTTTCTATCTAGTTATGTTAAACGTTTAGAATTTCTGACATCACAGTTAACCCTAATTTCTCAGCACAAGTATTCTTTACACAAGAAAGAAATTTGAGCGCATGATAAGAAACTAATTAAAATATACATCATTGAGCTTTCAGTTGCACTGCTTAAAGATGTTTGTTTCATTAAGCAGAGTTGTTTCAAAAACGGTTTCTGTAATGTTTTCTGCTTTTTCAGTCTTTAATTTAAACTGTAGCCGAGAAATACTGAAGACATATGAAAGAGTATCTGTTCATTAAAGTTTCTTTGAAGAATAGCCGAATTGACTGTTTATTAATTGTAGCTTTTTATTTCGACATTTAATATATTTCCACTCTAACTCATTTTCTAACACATTTATATGAATTACAATCGAGAACTAAAATGTTAAATCCCCGAATAGTTTTCATCATATCATTGTGCAATGGATTGAATGAATGAACAAACTGACAAAGGTGCCTTTTAGGGGTGATACGTGATTAACATTTAAATTTGGTAATTTATATGCATTACATTTTAATGCAATGTTAATACTCACGTGCATTTAGATTGACCTTTATTGAAACACAGATGTCCAACGGTTCCCGCCATTTGATCACCAATCATCTTTAAACAGAAGTTTGTAAGTTAAAGAAACATCTTTTTTTCTTATTGTAGTTGTCATTTCAAATTCGTATGTATCTGACTAAAATTATGAGTTACCCCAGAAATTGGAATTCCCGCTAATGGTCCATGTTTTATATAGCCGTATATTTCCGAGGTACTCCTAATCTCAGCAAATACATCATGAGGAATTCCAAAATATCTGATAAAATTATAATTATCAATAATTTCTTTGAGTAATACATATATCTCTTAAACACAAACACAACAATCAAATCATTAAAAAACCAACAAACTTTCATAAACTAGGAAGTACGTATACAACAAAAATAAAATATGCTTTGCAGTTTAAAATACATTCAATAAAAGAAACAATAAACGAGGAATTTTGCTAGTATTATTAAATTGATACTTCGATGAATTTTCGAAGTATATGTATATGTAAATCATAAAGTATACTTCTCAATTATTTAGCTTTATATTTAAATATTACATTTTACAGGAAAAAAATTAAACAGTGAAATATTCTTACCTGCAGATTTCCGGATCCCAGTCACAGGTCTCCAGATTACACAGGCCTGTAATTTGTCCATTGGAAATGTCTGTTAAATACACTCCCCCATTTACACCCCCAGTCAAATTCTAAAAATTATTATTTTGTATAATATACCATCTAGAATCACCATTCAAACAAAATTTTGAACTTTAATGGTGATTAAGTCCTTTAGTTGGTTATCAATTGCAATTAAAACTTCTCAAGTTTTAGTTAGTATTCTATAATTGATTTCACATTAAAATCGCTTTTAAAATGTATATTTCTCACATACCCATAAAATCCATGTGTTGACCGTGCCAAACATACACGTTCCTTCATCTATGGCTTCTTTAACACCAGGGACATTTTTAATTATCCAAGGAATTTTTGTGTTTAAAAACAATGAACTCAAGGGGAGTCCTGTAGTTTTCTGTCAGAAAAAATCTAACTTATAGCTACTTTTTTCCACAAAAGGCAAGACGGGTATAATAAGATTAAATTAAATGATCCATGTCTTAAATTTGTTGAACTTTCTTATGCCATATAGTTCGGTAATCTAAATATATAAAGCTAAAAAAATAATGTATTTTTGAACTATTTTTAACCAATATACATGCATAGCTGAGTGACCCTTTAAAACAACTGATGTATACCTGTATTCATTTTTTTTTAAATCTTTGCTTCATAGGTTTTATTTTGCCCTTCTCCCCCTCCCCAACAGGCACAAGTACCTCCTGAAGAATTACTTGAATATTTTATTTACAAAAGCATGCACAACTACACGATGACACATAATCATCCATTAACTCTCTTACTCTAAAATGGTCCTTATTTCTCCCAGGTAGTCTATCCAATTCTTTTTCATTGTCTTCACGTGTACGAATGTCGCACCATTCTAATAAAGAGAGAAAAAGTGAAACATAAAATACTGCAAACAATTCGTTTCTCAAATACATGTATATACCTTTCAGAATAGTTAATTGGGTGAGCCATGGAGCAGATAGAACATACTTTTTTAATCCATCATAATCCTTATTCTTACTGATACATATACTGTGGACGTACATTTTTCCGCCTTGAATTAGTTACGCTATGTACGCAGTGACAAATTTTCCGCGGAAATTTGTCATAGCTTACATAAAGTGCGTTTAAGGCATACAACGGCAAATCTGCAAAAATAGTCATTAAAAATAGATGAATTACTGTGGAATCATCATTTTTTTCCTCGGGTGGGTGGGTGAGTGCTCTATTCTTGGATTTAGTGGGTCACTATCCCATACGAATTTTCGCGTGTTATTAATCCTAACTTGGCCAAGATTGAATCATGACCCTACCGGCCAGAATTAAATGGCTAAGTTATCAATCTTGATTTTATCATGTTATAAATCCTGACTTGTCCACTACAAAGCTCTGGAATGATCTTCCGATAAGTGTACAAGAGAATCCTTCAATACCTATTGTAGTACGCTTTTAATTCTCATTTATTTGCAAAACATATAATAGAAAATCCAAGTGTGCTTGTGGAAAAACTGAATCAACAACACACTTTTTATTCGAATGTCATCTTTACAATGACGCAAGGAAAAAAATAATTGAACCATTAGGACCAGTTACTTTACACATTATCTTATTTGGAGATCCAACTGGAAATTATTCCTTTAATACTAACATTTTTAAACATGTACATCACTTTATTTCTGCTTCTAAAAGATTTGTAACTTGAATCTTACTTGTGGCCGTATTGTTGAACTCTTTATTCCTTACTTTCTAATCGTTATATTGGAATATGAATGAATTCATGTTATGATATCTCTCCAAATATTTCTTCATATTTAACTCATTTTTTTTCTTTGATTTATTCTGTATTTTTTCAATTATTCTTTCTATTATATTTGTCACGCAACAAGGGCAAATATACTGTATTTTTAATTGAAAGTTAATTTAAGGAAACAGATTAATATAAGTTGTATAACAACTTGTTTCCCAATCCTGTATGTCATTATTTATTGTGTACATATGATGACTTATTTAAATAAAATAAAGTTTAAACTAATCCTGACTTGGTCAAGATTATAAAAATCATGACTTGGACATGTTTGAAATCTTGACTTGGCCATGATTGCAATCCTGACCGGCCAGGATTGAATTACAAAGAAATATATAGAACATGACTTGGGGGTTCCCTAAGGCTTTACACTCTATACTGTGTTGTGTTTCATAATGTATTTAGTTCCCATGTCTTAAAAAGCAAGTCCATTGCATACATACCAATTGCGTTGTGGAATAATTTTCCTGTCTTTCTGCACCAAGAGATAATAGTCAGCATCTGGTTGGTTATTCCCAGACCTGTTCAATGGAACCATGTTAATTTTAACTTGAAACACTAAATTTTACAAACTTCGCTTCTCTAATTAGATCTTCATCCATTTTTGTGTCTAAATCTAGCAAGTATTTTTTAAGATGGTATGACATTATTTGTCAACTAAAAGAAAAACAAACAAAATCATTTTTCATCTGAATATCCACATAATAGCTTTAGATACCATCTAATAAATCATTTTTAGATTTTGTAAACTTTTCATATCCTTGAAGTATAGTTTACGTGTATGTCAATAAATAGGTAAGCATTGGTAAAATTTTATTTCAAAGTATAGAACAACGAAGCTAAATTATGACCTACATTTAATTTGTTGTACGTCTAGATTCTTTTCCTTCAGTTTTTGAGCAACTACATCAAAGCATTTCCAAACAGAATCCATCAGATAAACAGGATCCATTTCTGTCCATCTACAAAATAGAGAATACTTTTCATGCTTTATGATTTTGGAAACAACCTTATGAGTAGCAATATACCATGATCAACTGCATATAATGGGGATTATGTCTCCCAGTTGATTCGATACGCAAGAACATTAAATATATCTATAATAACGAGGCAAAATATTGATGAATAGGTTGATGAAAAAATCAACAGTCTTGTTTAAAGTCAACAATTCGCAAATTCTATGCAAATACAATCCATCATTAAATCGAATGTTGACTGACGTTTTACGTACAAATCGTTAGGCCATTATTTTCACACTGAATTGAATACGGATTTTTCCGTTTGCGCGTTCATGACAAGGCTATGAACACACGGCGGGTGTGGCAGGTCGACACTCCTCCCTGGCACCTGATCCTACCTCTGATGCTTTTAGAGGTCCGTGGTTCCTCTGCTCCAAACTTTTATTGTTTCATTGGACTTTTGAGCTTGATTACTGTCCGTTATCTTCATATTTCATCCTCTTTGGGATATTGAAAAATTAGACCACCATTGCACCAGCAAAATAAAGTTTTATTCATTTTATTTAGGTTGATCGAAGTGTGGGGCGAAATTCCCCTCTGCAGGAGTTAAATACTTTGTGCGGTTTTCATTGAAGATATGATGAAAGATACATTAGACTAAACGAAAAATCCTGTGACTAAAATGAGTGAGCTAATATCATCATGTAATAGTGTTGGATTTGTACAAAAATAAAGTAACAGAACTTGCCAGAAGATATATTTTAACTTTTATTTAAATTTGTTATTCAAAACCTAGATCCACCCCTTAGTTCTCCCTTACCTGTACATACATATATATACCTAAGGGCATTGGTCAGATGTTTTGGAATTGGTCATTGTTATTTTGGTTTTTATTGGTTATTGATTTGAAAGGTCTGATTCTATTGGTTTTATTGACTGGGTTGGAGTTTTCCCGCTTTATTAAGACCATTCTTTGTTCAGAGGTTGATTTGACCAGACTATATATATATTCATAAAAGACATTTTTGACTTTGGACAGATTTCCATTTCTGGTAAGTTACTAATATTATTTCATATTTTAAATGTTCATCCTATAGTATGCAAAAGTCATTTCCATTTGCACTTACTAAAGTGAATGAATGAATTTGAAAGAAAGTTATTTTATGATGTATATTTATTATTGATTACAAGATCAATATTAAGTATTTAACAGAAGTAATTTGATGTTAATCAGATTATATGTTTTTATGATGATCAAAGATATATTTGATGATATTGTTCAAAGTGAGCAATTGATATATTTTTAAGGGATAATATTTTTAAATAAACTGTATTAAATTACAGATCACCATTCATGTAGATACTTCTATATTAACAATTTGTGGGAAAGCCTATTCCCATAGAATGGTGAGATTTAGATTTATTTTAGGAATGACTCTAATTCCTGGCCAAATTTTTCGAGTAAAACCTGGTTTGGGTCAGTTTACGCTTTATAATCCGCGAAGCGGATTATAAAACAGCGTAAACTGACCCAAACCAGGTTATACTCGAATAATTTGGCCAGGAATTAGAGTCATTCCTTATAATTTAATTTTAAAATCATTAAACAACTGTGGTTGTAAAATTTCGTTGCTTTTTATTAGTTCAAATTTGCCGCTCAATAATACAACCGTAGTAACGGAAGTGATGGGAAGCGAGGGGAGGTAAAAACTGATACATAGTCCTAGCAGCCATGTTGTTTAATTACATGTGGTAAGATCCGAGTTACTGTTCGAAGTAAAAGGTACATTTATTAAATCTGGAATTTTCCATGAATCCCGAGGACTAGAAATGAGATGATTGCATGGATACAGACGATTCAGCTGGTTGTCGGGGGGGGGGGGGTGTCCCCATACCAAACCAGGTTATACAGAAATAATTTGTGTTCCTTTTTGGATATTAACCAATCAGAGGCTAGAATACAAACAAAATTAAATTATATTTTTTAATCTGGAATATATTTTTTATGACTATTATGGGAGTAATATGTAAAGATTTATATATTCAAGAGTTATCTCCCTTTGATGACAGTGTAAATATTATAAATGATGATAATCTAATTATTATCTTCATGTAAAATAATGAACATTGTGTGTGATAATTATTTACATTATATTTATTGTTGTTTTATGATATTTACAGGGCTAATACAACACAATATATATATAATCACTCCACTGTGCAATAAATCTGATGAACCCTGACAGGAGTGTTGTGTTATATACTTCCATAGTGATACCCCTGTTACAATCACCTACCCTTCCAGTGGCTCTATTCTCTTTGTCTCAATGCTGTGGGAGGCTAAAGTCTCTCCTGACACGTTATCAAAAACCTGAGATGTAAATAAATTAGATATTTATATGGAATCATTACATCTATATTTTAATTTGAGTTCATGCACATGTACATACTAACAACGAAAAAAATTAATTTGAGGCAAGTGATTTTCCTAAAAACGTACAATAAGGCCATAGGCAATTAACTTTTCGATTCTCATACCCGAACATCCTCCTTCAAATTTTCTAATCCCGTCGTTTTTTTTTTTTTTTAGATTTTGGTTTAAAGGATGAATGAATGACAGTTGACAACAAAAGAAAAATATCAGAGTATATACATCCATTAGTCTTGTAAACAAGCCATACACAAACTTAGGGGTGTTTCGCCGAGGAGAGGGGTGGTGGTGGTCAATAGTCATTTTTCCTTTATAGATATTTACAATGTATAAAAACGAAAATCCACCACCCCACTCCCTCTAGATCCGTAAAATAAATCTATACGATTCGTGTTCTCTGATCAGTCATAGAAAAGTAAACAAACACACAGTGCGGTTTTTATTTTTTCATTCATCTGAACAAGGCAATTTGATATAAAACGAAAAAAAATTATCAGGCATATTTTTCGACATATGTACATGTATACGCGCTGCTGCATTCTCGCCTATCATGTGCAGAAATACCTAAGGGCATTTTTCTTAATTCCCACTCATAGAATGTAAACAACTCTCAAAAGTCTATTTAAACAAAACATAAAACAAAGACTTACACAGAACTTGGTTCCACTTGATCCTTGGTCAATAGCACTGACCAGGACGGGAGACTTCTTTGTAGCCATGTCCGAAATAGTTATTTATAGACACCTTGTTCAGAGTGACCAGCACAATAAATAGATTTGGGCCAGAAGATCCCTGGGCAGTTTAAAAGGTGAGATTACACAGGACATTTGTGTAAACAACAACAAAATTTTTCTAAACACTTTGCTGATATACTATAATTAACTACTTATAATGTGAATTTACGTATCAACAGATTTAAAGATTTACTTTCGATCAATCCTTTCCGTGCCTTTAATTAATCTATAATTTACCTGCAGAATTCGTAGGGTTTTCATCTACCAAATACAACTTATTTTGCAATCTTGAAACTTCACTCGGAATGCAGCTTGATGATTGTTGTTGGTATATATATGGAGAAGATAATTGCTTGATTACGGCAAGATATTTTCACATCTGCAAAATCTGTGTCACTCATATTTACAGCGCTAGTTTAGGAAGCGCGAATTCAAATATTCATCATTTCTTATGCATACATGTGGTTCAGATAGGAGACTATACATAATTAGTTAACTTTCTGAAAATTCCTTTCATGCATGCACTCTCATGTGCATTCAGTCACAGCTAGAATCAATCACAATTTATACACTGAAGTGAAAGTTTGAAATTGAAATATATATGTATGATTGGCAATAAAATTTTTAAAGCTAAATACATGTATGTTCACAAGAATTGAAACTGCAATTTACAAAGAAGCTGCATGTGAAAAATCATAATATATGTCTTTTTAAAAATCATTTTGGTTTTTCGGCCATGTCTCTGTGAGGGTCAATGATTTATTTTTAATGTTCAGCGTATTTATAATGTACAAAAACAGAAGTGTTCCATCAAGGCAATAAAGAGCCATATTATTGAGATCCATTATCATCGCGCAAAAAAATTCCGCAGAAAATTTTCTATAAATAATCATGATTTATTTGTGTCCGTAACTCTTGACTGACAGTAAACTATCCATTTTCTTTTAATTAGAAGTATTAAATAGATTTTCAATCCTTTAAGTTCTCTATTTTGGCATCTCCTAAAGAAATTCATTTGTCTTCGCACCAAGTTTTGCAGTCCGAGTTCTTTTTCTGCTTTGTTTTAGGATCACCCGTCAACAAACAAGAAACAGCATATTGTTTATGTCTAATAATGCTCACATTCATCAATTTTGATCTACGAGAAGTGGAGATGATGTGAATTTACATATAATAGCCTTATTCTTACTAACTTTTATAATTCTATATATTTCTGTATACGACTTTCACTACTATTTAGGCACGAAGATTGATCCATGGCCCTTGATTTAAAACAAAATAAATCTACAATAAATGGGTTAACAATGATTTGACCATGATCAATTTGTTCTTGAGAAGATTTTTAAGGGCTTTTTCAATATGCATTCCTATTTTGAAAAATAAAATTGACCACCATTAAAGCCAAATCCTATGATTAGAAAAACCTGAAATCTGCAATAAACAGGGATTCTTGCATACTTTTAAAACTAATTGTGTTCCTGGTACTCTTATAAAGATTTTAAAGAATTTAAAATATTTTTCAACGTTCTTACCGCTTAACAATAGTCCTTTTACCAAAAATAAGTAAATATCCTAAGGGGTGTTTATATATTGATATGACTAATGGAGGACTTACTGTTCTGAAGATTAAAACAATCCCTTACATTACAAGGGGTTATCAAAAAGTTCGTGGACTGATGCGATAAAATTAATACTATGTAGTCTGTGCTTACAAAATTTATAAGGAACATAAAACAATAAAAGTTTAAGAAATGTTGAAAATTTTAGCTTGATACGTTGATAATTTGCCAAATTATTCTAAAATAAAAGAGACATTACATGATCACCCCTCGCTGTCGCGGTTTAGTTTCATGACGTCCGACAACGTCATTGTTTCTCAATGTCCGCTCTCTCTACCTCATACACTTATCTTGATGAGATTACCTGGAGTTAAGTATAAGGACTTAAGTCCGTCTTGTTTATATGACTTTACAATGTCATGAACAGCTGCTTTCAATGCATATAATATTGTAATTGGATCTATACACAGGGAAAGATCCTCACTTGATTATGCCAGAATACTTAGCTTGTTGGAGTTCAGTTTCTACCACACATGATCAACGTCACTTTTCGACGTGACTGACTTTTGACACTCTGACTACAAATCGACATTAACTGTGCGTCTTTCATCTCTCTGGATCTTTTTGGGCATTTAAAAACAAGTACTCTGGATGCATTTTATTTTTCTGTAGACCGTTTAAACATTCCTTAGGTCTATACCAGTTTTTCCAGGAGAGAAACTTTATAGACTGTTGGAAAAAGAAACCCCTCCCACTTTTTGACGTCATTTTCAAGCTCATAATTGTTTGGACACTCCATATAAAATTTGCGATAAAATTTCATAGAACTTACAGAATGGGGTAAAAATTGCAAATTTTACGGAACAATTGTGTTGTACCACATGCCTGAATTAACGGGATTTTTTGATGACAAATGCTCATATCAAAAGAGTTTTTCTCAGTTACACTCAGGTAGAAAAAAACGTCATATTTCAGGTTTCGCCGCCTGGACATACCATTGCTTACAAAAACGTTAACAATTTATTAAAAAAAAACAAAACTTATGATTAATGGTTTATTCTATAGATAGAAAAGATTATGCTAACTATATGTGTAAAAAATCAGTGATGTACCTAAAACGGTTTTAATTTTATGGCGCTTAAGTCCACGACTTTTTTGATAACCCCTCGTATTTCAATGTAACACCACTCTTGCACTTCAACTACTTCAATTACCTTTATCAACGCTGTTTTGTGGAAAGTTTGCAAACTTGCCCACTGGAACCGGGGACACGGGAGAGGGTGCCTATCTCCTATTTTTTTTTTTACCAGTTTATACTTTATAATATATAACTTAGCCAATTTACATTCCCCTCCCCTCAATAATTTCCCCCAGCATATACTATACAGTAAAATTAAAACTAAATAAAGATATGATTGTGTCCCCTTTAAAATAACGTCTGAGGAAGGAATGTTTGAAAAAGTAAATTTTTTATTAGTCCCCAACTGGTAAAACTGGAGGGGACTATAGGTTTCCTCTGCATCTGTCCGTCCGTCTAGCTGTCTGTCCGTCTAGCTATCCCTTTGTCTGTCTGTCAGTCTTCCCCACTTGGTTTTCCGCAATTTTTTTCTAAACGGTTGCATATATTGAGCAGATTTTTTGGTATGTGGAAAAATGTTCAAAGACAATGAAGTATTGCTGATGAAAAAATCACTGTTGTTTAGTTAAGTGAGGGAAAATATTTGCAAATAAAGTGTTCAATTAATTTATCTTGACCTATTAAAATGTTAATGATGCTTGAATTGATTAGAAATTGAGTGTTAAACAGTATAGATTTAAATTTACTTCATTTGGTATCATGGGAAGTGATTGGGAAAGAAAAATTTCATTATTAAGATTCAGAATGTTGAAATTTTGATTTCAAAAAATGTGAAAAAAAAAACAACTAAAAATGTCGTTATGACGATCAAAGAAAATAGTTATCTTAATTGACAGGAGAAAGTCGGATTTCCAGAAAAATAGTCGTTATTACTAAAGGTCATTTTACCAGAAAATAAGTAACGACAATCTTCAATCTCTTATTAATATCGACTTTCTTATGTCTGTAATAACTTCTTATCTGATATTTTTCTCTCTCTTGACCGAAAAAAATGTTAAAGTGTTAAAAACTGCTTGTTGAGATAAACTTTTATAGCGTATTAACAAAGAATATTTACTTTCAGCTGTTTGTACTATACAAATTGTTTTTAAGGACAGTTTAATAACACATGTATGCATAAAAAACATATTTTTTGCCCCCCCCCCCCTAACAATATATAATTCAACTTTTTTTATGTCTTAATATCCCAGCAACATCTTGAGTAGTAGTATCGCTGATGTTTTGTCAATATGTACCTAATTTCCCTTCAATGAAACCCATGTAAATTTAATGAATGTTTAAGTGACTCTTTCGAATACTTGTATCACAAAAATTCAGCCTGTAGATTTACATGTATGTAGATTTTCACTTCGTAGACGTACATGTAGTCAGTTTACCATACGAAGTGGAAGAAAACGAACACTTCCTGGTGAATAATTAGGGAAGTATCATATAATGAAATAGAATATTAACATTGTTAATTGGAGCAAAATATATCAACCATGAGAGAGACCTGTATATCAAATTTTACAGGTTCTAAGCGATAATTAAATTTATATCTTTATTCCTGTTTTCCAATAAGCTGCACTTTAAATTTTCATTCCTTGTCGATTTGGACTTACTAGACTTGCATATTTCTTGAGAGATTTATGGCCATATATATATGAAATTCGAAAGTAAAATGTTTCATATAGCATCTATTATGAACATTAATGATCCGAAACTGCACAATGCCTTTCCATAATGGAAAGCGTCATTGACTCGTACCCGATGACTTATGATTATAAATATTCCATTTCTCTTTTATCTGACTGTACCAAAAACGATTTACTGATGCATAAATGAGAAATAGGTCGTCAAACTTATTTTTCAAAATATACATTGCCAACGTATATCAGAACATGCAGAAAATTTTGGATCAAAGGTTACCCGATGTCTGGGGTCACATGACTCAATGAGTTTATAAGAGCACAAGGAGACATGCGTGGACATTTCACCTGTTAACATATTTGGACATTTTTTCCTAATATGGAAGGTAAGTATTTATATATAAGTATGATGATCGATTACGTTAATACTACTTTAATTTATGCAATCTTGAATAAGCTTTATCGTTTTATAACCATTATATCTGTGTAATTCATAAGCTCATTTTTGAAAATTGTCGATCGTGCACTTACTTTTGATTGTGTAAATAACATTCAATATTTTTTTTATATTCAAAAGTCATACATGAAATTTGCTATTTTCATTAAAAAAACAAAAACTAAAAAAAAAAAAAAAAAAAAAGGAACTGTTTCACGTGGCTAAATCGTGTCTTAAAGTTTAAAGTATCTTATTTCTGTTGCGTGGCCTACTTGATTTGTTAACTTTAAATTTATGTTACAAAAATGTAGAACACCTTTGTATGTAAACACTGCGTGGAGTCTGAAGAATGGCTTTGAAAAATTAATCAGTAAGTGATAATTAGTCCATGGATCATTATATAACGAATACGATACATTCTTACATTTAGAACTCATGCATTCGTATTGTCGTCCTCATATTCGTTTTATGTATACACAATAATATGCAAATCTCCCCCCACCTTTTCAATCGTGGATTGTGCTGTTAGACTTTAATATTAACATGCAATTCATTCATATCTAGATTTCTCTTTCAATATATATATATATATATATATATATATATATATATATATATATATATATATATATATATATATATATGTATGTATAAGCTTACTTAAGATATGTTTCTATGTTACAAAAAATCTTATGAGTTACAGATCTTATAAGTATGATTCACAATTTCAAAGGGTTTAAAAGGCAATAGATGATAAAGTGAGAAAAACAAAAGCAAGATTAACAATGCCAGAACAGATTTCTTTTTATTTTTTGAACAACCATTATTTTAACATTTAAATATTCATGATTCAAGTGAATCTGACTCTTTAAATACCTATTTAAGTATTTATATTGTGGCATCACACTGTAATTATCTTTGTTTGTTTTTTTCCTCTTCTCTTTAGGTTGCATCAGATATTTGGAGATTAAATAAAAATTCAAACTGAAAGTTCAATAGTTTTTTTTTTTTTGCAAAAACATCGGTAACAATATATACACTGTAGACCCTGTATTTTGTTAATAACAGCGGCATATAGGCCAAATACAAGATCGAACCGACTCAATCCGCTTCCGAGTCCTTCTGTTGCGTAAAATGTCACAGAGGTCAAGGTTTGTATGCAGTGATATATTTGTACGTATTCATCTCATCGAACACTTACTAATTCTGTGGGGGTTTCGATCATGCGCAAAAACTGTACTTTTTAAAAAATTGTATTAAACAATTTGAAATAAATTTTGATTTCGTATTGTGCTACAGAGATGAAAAAAATTGGTAAGGGTGCAGAAATGTCAGCAAAACTGGACCAGCACGTGGGGCTCCTGTCAGGTGTGTTTCTCATTATGGGTACCATGATAGGTAAGTTTGATTTTATCTGCAAATAATGGTGACTTCTATAAAAGTAATTTGAACATAGTGTAAACAGTTAAAGAATTACTTTATATATTTCCAACTACTTGATAATAGTAGAAGCTATAGAAATTCGTATAACTAAAAGTATGAAAAAAGAGACCCGCATTACTATAACATTACTTTTGTAATTTCTTATACATCTTCTATTTGCAAACATATAGAATGCTGTAAACAAATATTGCTATTGATATCGCACAACTTATGTTTTAAAAAAGTCAGCACTTTTTTCCACAAACAACTCCGAGTAAAATATACGTTGTCGTGGAATTATATATATATACCATACCGTCACAGCAATGTAATATGGCAAGATTTCTTAGTGTCGCGGGCTGCTGTTACGGTATTTTTATTACTTGATCCCTAAAGGTGATTAAAGAGAGTGTCAGTATGTGTTGTTTGATCCCAGACTACATACAGATATCATCGTTCGGATAGCTATCGGTCGTTCACCTCTGCCAGACTCAAATTCAAATAGTCCTTGAGGTCTTTGATCGCCGAAAAATCTAACGAGGAGAAACTAAAGCTCAACTCATCAACTCTAGGTCATTGTGTCGCAAATGTGGAAGATAACGAACAGCGATCAATCTCATAAATTCAACAAACAGAACAAATGGTGAACAGGGCAAAAACAAGGATCCCTGGAAACACTAGAGGTGGGATCAGGTGTCCAGGAGGAGTAAACATTCCCTTGTCGACCGGTCACACCCACCGTATAAAATAGGCATATAAGTAAGGTGACAACACATTGTCTGTTTTGTTTTACGTATGCGTCTTCGCTAGCCAAGGGTTTCCGATCCGAAATCTACTCTACAAGAGATGTACATATGTAGAACTTGTATAATGTTCGTAAAATATGATAATCGGACACTACCAGTAATATTTATATCTGTATGTGAATGTTTAATAAGATCAACACTTTAAAATAAGATTTAACACTTTTTAAAGCATAAAATATCAAAGTATATTTTAAAGATAGGAGACGTCTCGTAAATCTTGACAACTTTATTTCATTTTAAAAACTTTCGCCCAATTATTACTTTTTTTTTTACTTTAAACTTGTTATACGTATTAGATTCTTCATAACCTGTAATTTACAAACAAAGGAAATACTGACATAAGATAGCAACACCCGCACGGAAGTGCTTACCTCTAAATTGTACCTGGTTACTAATGAAGGATCAACAATAGCTATTCCATAATTTACATAAATATACATGTATCAAACTCAGGTAAACAAGTGGCCACTGGGCCTCTAATGTAGTACAATGTATTTCATGCAATAAATCCATTATCAGTCTGGAACACGATTTAAATGAAGCAAAGATTCTGTTTTAAAAAGCTTTTTGGAAATCTAGTTTTTTGTTGGAAAAAAATGGTAATTGGTATCTTTGATGGAAAAGACAATTTCAAATCTTATTGTTTATATCTACTGGACACCGCTTATAATGTTCTAAAAGACGATTTGGCTATACTGCGTAGAAAGTAAGAGGAGTTCTGGAAACATGTTCTTTTTAAAAAGAATAATGTCGCTAAAGCCCCTAATTCGTCTCCATCATGAAAATGAAAATTTCCAAATCTTGTAATTTCACACCTAGAGGACATCAACAATCATGTTTTAAAAGATGTATAGACTACCTCGTAAAATGTAAGAGAGATTCTAGAAAGCAAGTTTTTGTCGAAATGACAATGTGAAGATATAAGGAACAGTGATTATTCTCAAAGTCCACCAAAACAATACAACCTGTGCACAGAGCGGACCTCTGAAAAGATCAGAAGTGGGATCAGTTACCATCTAGGAGTAAGCATCCCCTTTCGACCGGTCACACCGGCCGTGAGCTCATTGTCATGATCGTATAAACGGAAAAATCCGTAGATATTTCAGTTTGAAAATAGTAGACTAACAACTTGTAGGAACAAATCAATATTCGACGTAACTACAAAATGTATTTGAAAACAATGTCATGGTATCGACTTTAGAATTTGAGAAATGTTGCCTTCAAACAAAATTGTTACTATCCTTGTATATTCAACTTATTTGTCAATAGCCTGCCTCGTTTCAGAAAAGGGGCATACCTAGAATAACATTAACTTTAAATTTGCTCATTGAATCAACCTGTAGACTTAAACTCCATATGATTATGGTATATTGCTACATACATATGGGAAGCTGACGATATATATAAAAAAAGTTGAAGCCATCACATTTATCATAAAGTTTATTTTTTTAGTCGTCAATTTGTCATCAATATCTTTTTCTAGAAAAACACCTATTGACCCCTAACTTCCCCCAGGGTAAAAATGAAAATCTTGAAACCATTTTTGCACATCTACAACACATCAACAATCATATTCTAACATCCTTTTGGCTACTTCATAAAATTTAAGAGAAATTGTAGGCAAATTTTCGTCGAAAAACGTCTTTTTTCGATCCCCCAATTGGCTAAAAGAATGAAAATAAAAGTTCCAAAACCTTACTGCATATTCACAGGACATCACTATTCATATCCAACGAATCGAGAGCAGGGCAAAATTGCGGACCCTGGAAACACCAGAGCTGGGATCACGTGCTTAGGAGGAGTAAGCACCCCTTTTCGACCGGTCAAACCGGTCCTATGTATTGATCAGGTAGACGGCATTACTTCGTATTCACAATTAGTATATTAGCAATTACCTAGTAACAAATGGTATGAAACATGTCAAGCAAAATATGACCCAACGATAGGTTGTATTTACAAAACAAGGTCACCATAACTATTGTAGAATTAGCGAAATGCTGACTTTAAAGTAGTTGTTTAGATCCTTGTTACATCAACTTATTTATCAGTAGCTTGCCTCGGTTTAAAAAATTAATCGTATTTAGAGCATGCGCATCAAATAAGTTGGGAGAAATAAACACCATATGCAGTGATGTTGGAGTATTGCTGTATACATCACGTGCATAAGGATAGTTGACGATAGAAAAGTTGAAGTCATCCCGTTTATCATATTGTGTAGTTATTAGTTGGCCATTATTGTCTATGGTCAGTAAAACATCCAAATATGAAACAGACTTGGCAGAAACTGTAATAAGAAAGGAATGATTGGAATAAGTTTTTCCAAATTTTCTTTTTACCCCAATTTGTCCTCAGGATGAAAATATAAATTCTGAAACCTTATCGGTTATCTACAGAACATCATCTATCATACCCGAAATGATGAATTAGCTACTACTTTCAATGTCAGAGAAGTTTGTTGAAGAAGATAGTGTGACAGACGGACGGAGAGACCATGGATAACAACAATATGCCAGAAAAATTCAAAATAATTATGAATTATGAAAAAAACACACCATCTCTGCATGGCAATAATTTTATATCAGATGGACATTTACATTCTACATTTAGCTATAGTAAAAGCTGTGCAATTTCTTTATCTAACTTGAATGGGCACAAACATGTACATGCTCAAACATTATGCTGAAGTCTGCTTAAATACTACCTCCGTCGCCTGCGTGGCGCAGTGGTTAGAGCGTTCGCTCTAGAGTCGCGGAGTAAGGAGTTGATCCTTACGTCGCGGGTTTGAATCCCACTGTGGGATGTGGAGACCGGTCCTTCGAATGAGACCGTATAAACCGAGGTTCCGTGTCGCAGTAGGTGCTGGCACGATAAAGAACCCTCACTGCTCAATGGCCCTGAGTGCCGAGTATAGGTCAACATTTGCAGCTCTCCACCGGCAAGTGGTGGCGTCTCCATATGAGTGAAAAATTCTTGAGAGGGACGTTAAACAAAAAACAAACAAACAAACAAACATAATACTACTACCGTTGTACATTGAAAGGCTTTATCAGCACAAGAAATATATGGAGATAACAAACAGTATTCAAGTTCAAAAGTCCATTTAACAAAACAAATTATGGAGCAGAGCAAACACGGACCTCTAAAACATCAGAGGTGGGATCAGGTGCCATGGAGGAGTAAGCATCCCCTGCCGACCGGTCACATCCGCCGTGTGCTCCTTGTCATGATCGGAAAATAACGGAAAATCCGTCGACAATCCAGTGTGTAAATAATGGCCTAACAATTAGTATGAAAAACGTCAGTCAGCATTTGACTTATGATAGATTGTATTTGCTGACAAGGTCATACTGTCGACCATAGAACTTACGAAATGATGACTTTAAACGAGACTGCTGATATTCTTGTTTCATCAAATTGTTTGTCAATAACTTACATCATTTTTGAAATTGTTCATACGTAGAGCATGTTCTTGTGTATCGAATCAACTGAGAGACATAAACCCCGTATGCAGGTGATGAACGGTATATTGCTGCACAAGTAAGGGAAGTTGACTTGAAAAGTTTAAGTTTTCACAATTATCATAAAACTTTGTTGTTAGATTACCATTAAGTTCTTTTTCTAGTAAAATATCCAAATATGAAATAGATGTATCAGACTCTGTGGTATCTTTTATTTCAAGCTCAACGGGATATATTGTATCGACATAAGAAAGGAAATAACCATTGTTAATTGACAATGCGTCGTCGATATATCTAAATGTCGAGTTGAACGCCACAGCAAGAGTCGTCTTTTTTTTTTTGCGTATAAGATTTTGAACAAATTCTGCTTCATATGAATACAAAAATAGGTCTGCTAATACGGGTGCACAATTGGTACCCATTGGAATTCCAATAGATTGTTCGAAGACCTGGTCTCCAAAAACCACATAAATATTGTCAATCAGAAACTCAAGCATCTTTTTAATATCAACCTCTATATCTACTTTTGTGTACTATCAGAATGTTATTTAACAAAACAATTTTGCAAATGACAAGGTAAGTAAATTTTTGAGTTCCATTTTTATTGAAAAAGCAGCTGTCAATGATATCAAAAAGCCTATCGTGGGGAATGGTTGTATTTAAAGTTGAAAAGTCGTAAGTTTTTATGTTGTTGATTTTGAAAAAAAAATTATGATTTCAAATTTTCCAAAAGTTTTTTTTTTTTTGGAATTTTTAAGTATCCACATCTGATTTACACCACTTCTCGAATATATTGTTGCACAACACTCCTGAAGTTTCGCCTTTACTACTATTAATATTTTAGTGAGGAGTAAAGAAAGAGACTTGGTAGAATATTTACTAGAACCCGCTATGTATCTTTTTTTATGAAGTTTCGGAATCCAATATAGATATGATAATTCAAATTCATGTTGGTTGTTGGGAATATTAAAAATATTCAAAACTGACATATGATTTTGAAGAACTTCCTACTTAGAAAGGCCGCCATGGGTATAAGTTGGATTACCACTTGTAGAATTATATCCCAGTCCCTCTTAAATACAATTTAAATAATGAGCCTTACAAACAAAGACAATGTTGTTACCTGCTTTGTCAGCAGGGACCAGTACATACTGATCGTGTAATCTATATAATTCCTTTTTCACTTCTGAATTATTGAAGAATAGTTGGTTTTCATTTTGCCTCTCAATCGCTTAATGCGAGATTTTAACATTCATCTGATACATTCAGTGGCGGATTTAAGGGGGGGGGCGCACCCGGCGCCCCCCCCCCCCCCCAAAAAAAACTGTCAAAGTTAGCGTAAATCATAGTTTCGCCACGAAAATGTAAAAATGTCTACTTGGTAGACCTCATTTTTACCCTACAAAATCTCTAGAATCCAGGAGCTTCCGGGGGATTCGCCCCCTGGGCCCCCACCAGGGCTTCGCCCTGGACCCACTGGGGGCCTCAAGGCGGCCCCCAGACCCCCTGCCTACTTTCTGCGCCCCCCCCAACTTCAATTCCTGGATCCGCGCCTGACATTTAATCCATTCTGGCAACGTGTCAAGGTTTTCTTTTTCATGTCTGGCCCATCGTCTGGCGTAAATCTTTCACAGTATCAAATATAACCTACGTCAATTGTTGAGCTTATACAGTCTTATGCAGTCTCCGATGCCCTTTAAAAGTTTTAACTTGACAACTGTAAAATTGCAAATAATTGCAAATGACTTTTTTTTTTATCAACATGCACTTTTAGATACAGCGTTATGTAATATTATGATAAATGACTGATATTTTACATGAAGTGGGATCTGTATTTCCATGTTAAATCCAGAGCGTTTTGTTTAATTTCAAACACTGTATATGTAACACCTTCATTTTCTATGATACCGAATCTTCTATTGGCAAAATATAAATAAACAAATAAAAACTGTGCAAATTTATTTCAAAGGGTCTGGCATCTTCATTTCTCCAAAAGGCGTGCTGGAGGGGACAGGGTCTGTAGGTATGGGTTTGATCACGTGGATGGCATGTGGATTAGTCGTCACACTAGGTAAGGTAGTTACATTTTAGTTACATTTGGGGGGGGGGCTATTCCCAATAACCATTAAACTATGACACTATAACTATGACACTTTTAATACTTGATTCAATGGAAAATCTAACTATGGTTAATTATCTTTTAAATCAAATGTTTTGATTATTTTTTAATATGTCTTGCAATTCCAGTGTCACCACTGTATGGTTGACCTTTAATTTACATTATTTATTTGATTCCAAATCGTATCTAACATCTTGAGATTTAACAGAATAAACTTGTTTTTTTTCTTGAAGCGGCTTTATGTTATGCAGAACTTGGTACTATGATTCCAAAATCTGGAGGCGAACATTCCTATTTAATGTACACCTTTGGAAAAATGGATAAATGCTTAGGCCCGATTCCAGCTTTTCTTTATGACTGGGTAAATACGAAATCACTCTCTCTCTCTCTCTAAAATTTCACTAGAATTGATACTTAAGTGTCTTTCTCGACAGTCTCAAAATTAGATAGCGTTCATTATATGTGACCATCAGCAGATCGTAGAGGGAACCTCTTCTCAAAGCTGGTTTCACTCATAAATTATTTCTTTCATTATCGAAGTCACGAAAGCAATTAATTTCTTGTTCTTTAACTATGTTCGAGGAACATGTATTAAGTGATGATGTTTGGCAGGTTGGATTGTTCATTATACGACCGACCATGTTCGCCATCATGACGTTGTCTCTTGGTACTTACGCCATTAAGCCTTTCTTTCTGGACTGCAAACCACCCGACTCTGCCGTTAAAGCAGTTTCATTGGCTGCCATCCGTAAGTATTCTGAATCAACATTGGTCCATTTGACATATTTATTTTAGTCACTTTCAGCGCTCCTATAATCTTCATAGTCATTTTCATATTGGTATACATTTCCTATTTTAGAATAAATATTTCAATTTTCGCTTTTTGCCATTATTTTTCAGTTATTATTGCTTTTATCAATGGATACAGTGTAAAAATGGCCACATATATTCAGAATATCTGTACAGTGGTGAAGCTGATAGCTATTTCAGTACTAACTGTCGGCGGAATGATCAAAATCATACAAGGTATAGAGAATTCACCTGTTTTCAGTTCAGGTGTCTTGAAATTGGAAGAACTTATCAAGAAATAACTCGCAGTTTTTTTTCCCTTTAATGTGAATTAATGAAGTCGTTGATCGTTGATGAGAGAGAGAGAGAGAGAGAGATTATTGTGAAAAATTGAAATGTTTCTTAAACTGCAATACAAGTGAGACTTGATTTCCAGTACTGCTTTAGGCAATCGTGAATACATCCAAGACGGCTTTGAGGATACGGAGAGTGACGTGTCTTTGATCGCTATTGCTTTCTATAACGGACTATGGGCTTTTGACGGCTGGTAAGAAATACAGTGATTGATATAAGCATCACCTACAAAATGTTGAGTTGCAGCAAGTAACAAAAATATATTCGTAGAATTTGATTTTTTTTTTTTAATTTTTTTAATTTATTTATTTTCAGGAATAACTTAAATTTTGTTACAGAGGAGTTGAAAAACCCAGGAAGGTAATAGTATTTTATAATAAATCTATGTAAAGTGAAATAATACCTAGGGTTTTAAAGCATTCATATATATTATAAAATGTACATCAAAATAAATAGCTTTATTGAAAACTCCCTGGTTATCAAAACATTTCCAAAGAATGAAATTAAACATCACTTTCTGTGAAGGACTATAAAAGATTTAATGTATGAAACAGTATTGAAGCTGAAAAGTCCATTCAAGCAATATAAATGAGGAGCAGAACAAACAAGGACCTCTAAAACATCAGAGGTGGGATCAGGTGCCATGGAGGAATGAGCATCCCCTGCCGACCGGTCACACCCGCCGTGTGCTCCTTGACATAATCGGGAAATAACGAAAAAATCCAACGACAATTCAGTGATTAGATTGTAATTGCACACAAGGTCATATTATCGACTACAGAACTTAAAAAATGATGATTTTAAACGTGACTGTTGATATTCTTGTTTCATTAACTTGTTTGTCAATAACTTACATCATTTTAGAAATTGTTCATACGTAGAGCATGCTCCTGCGTGTTGAATCAACTGAGATATAAACCTTCAGGTGCAGGCGATAAGGGTGTATTGCTGCATAAGTAAGGGAAGTTGACGATTGAAAAGTTAAAGTCATCATGTTTATCATAAAGCTTTGTTGTTGTATATGTTTTTCTAGAAATCTCCCTATCTCAATCATGATTGGTATCCCGCTAACAACAGTATGTTATATTCTGGCCAACATAGGATACCTCGGAGTCATGTCAAAAGAGGAAATCATTGTATCTCATGCTGTGGCCGTGGTAAGCTAAAAATGATTTTATTCTCTTCATTTTTAAAGAATTAAACCTATTTCGCAATTACTTAAATATCTGAAAATAAAATACATGTTTTACAATTTTTTCATATGAACAACAAAATTGACAACTTTTAACAAATCTTGTCTTTTCAGACATGGGGTCGGTATATGCTAGGAAATGGGGCCTTTATCATGCCGATATTTGTATCTATTTCCTGCTTTGGTGCCGCAAATGGTTGTTTATTTGCTTCAGGAAGGTACTTTATTTCATTCATTACTTGAAGTATTTCAGTGAGTAAGAACCTCTCTATTATTATGGAAAATGTCTACGTAAATCAATAACAGATTCGATTTTTCAAGAAGCACTAAGCTTCATGCAGTTATCAAGTGCAATGCATGCAAGCATCAATTGTAAAGTTCTAGTAGCCCTCGTCCACATTTACATCAGGATAAAATTCAGTTCAGAGTTAGATAATTACAAGCAGCTTGTGTCCCATGGGTGGTTATAAAGTAGGATTGGGGAGACTTTCATGTATTGAACATGAAAGAAATTTCCTTGGCTGTGTCTTTCTTTATCAACTTCTTCGATTGATAATCATAATAAGAATATACATTGGAATACAAGGTACATGTAGTCCTTCCTTCACTTTTTTGAATATTGAAAGAGATTAAATGCGTTATGCAGTTTTAAATCTTCAATTCCTTTAAAATTCAACAAATAAAATGAACTAAAACCATTTCATGTCTACATAAGCAAACCCACACTGAGGCAAAGGAGTCAAGCATCCAAATCTCAGAGGTAGCCGTAACTGATGCAGATCCTTCTCAATGTAACGTATTAGAATATGCATGGATGTTGGATAATTTCTTCAACAGAGTAAAAAAGGAGGCTGATATATGTAATAGCAATTGCCTTCAGTTCCATGGCCTGTCCAAAATGAATTATTTTTCATGGATTGATGCAACAAAATTTCTGTTACAGATTGTGTTTTGCAGCAGCTCGTGAGGGTCATTTTCCTCAGGTTTTCTCTTATATAAGCATTAACCGGAAGACTCCGTTACCGTCCATAATCCTCACTGTGAGTACTTCTGTACTTCTACAGTATATCATCATACCTAGTTCTGAAATATCTTGTCGTGAAAGTAAAGCTGAAAAAGGGTGCAGGAAAGCCGTAGATGTCAGCAATGTTCATTTTATTTTGCCAAATACAAATAATTTGTTTTCTTACTTTTTGCTTTATTGTAGCAATAATGAAATTTTATCGTAGCTACTGATATTTTGAACGATTGTAGGCATTTATAGGTGCCTGTTTAATTATTCCTGGGGACTTGAGCACTCTGATCGACTTCTTTAGTTTCTCTGCCTGGATTTCCTATGGCTTTACTGTTCTATCTTTGTTAGTCTTACGGAGAACGGAGCCAAAGACAGAGAGACCGTACCGGGTAGGGCGTGTAGGAAAAAGTACTTCTTCCTCATAGTAATTTAATCCACAGTTTATATCATGTAATTTGTATGCAAATGATTATGACAGATGCTTTATTAAAATGACTTTGTGAAAATGGCTTTTCTTTCTCATGGTAGTTTCATCTTTAAATGAACTTCAGTACATTTTGAAATAAACCCTTTTACTTAAAGGTCCCGACTATAATTGCTGTATTTGTGGTGTTGACGTCATTTTACCTCGTTATGGGTCCAATTATACGTTCTCCTCGGGTGGAGTTTTTGTATGCTGCTCTATTTATAGCCAGTGGTATTTTTCTGTACTTTCCTTTTGTATATAACAAGAGTAGTCCCTCTTGTGTACAGCCAATAGTTGGTAAGTATTGAATTTTAATAACATACAGTCGCGCCTCGTTAATCTGGACACTTTCCCTAGCAAATTGTCTGGATAAATGACAATTCCGGATTACTGAAACATATTTGGTATATCTAGCGTCTGGATTAACGAAGCTCCACTGTATATTACACGCGGATAAGATTTATGGAATTTATCTTTCAGTCTGATTTCATCTACATTAATTGTTTCTACATTTTAAATTTAGGCAAATTATTGTTGAAAAGGAAATTATACCCTTTTTTGAATATTTAAGATATTATTTTAAGTCATATCATTTCCCTTTTCTATTTTAGACTGGGTCACTGCAAAGATTCAGAAGATATTTCTAGTCGTACCTTGAATTTATTCTATCTTAATCTGTGATACATGATAATGTACATGAAAACAATAAGATGAACTTAGCATGGTTCTAGTATTGTTCCTAGAACACACTGTTGAGAAAGTCAACATATTGTTTGAATTTCAAAAAAGTGTAAATCAATTTTTAGAAATAGAAATAGAAATCATAACCATTCTACAGTTACTGTTGAATTGTGGTTTGAGGCTAAGATACCTAATTCTTGCTTTCTCTCTCTAATATCAGGAATATTATAGGTCCCTGCTAATATCTAACAATATACGGTACATTTGGAGAATGCCAAAGCAGTCACTTGCAGTCATAATGAAAAATTTTCTGTGATATCATTTAAACCTTTAAAATTTGCAGGAATCAATTACTGTACATGTACTTCGTCACAGAAGAATATTCTCAACATCCAGCAGTTAGTTGTCATTTAGAATCTCATTGTTGTGATATTTTTTTCGCAAACTGCTTGTGATATATAGAAAGATAAAATATTGTTGGATATTTTGAGTATTTGAACTTGCAATGTATTCCAAAGTGAAACGTGTGCATTTTACGGTTTAATTAAAATGTAAAGTTTTTTCCGTACCGTTTTGTCCTAAATAGTTCTGTAGAACCCTCTAATCGATTCGTTTACCCCCCTCCCAATGCGTTTACAATGTATCCCCAATTCGATGTCATATTATATTAAACTCGTATTGTTTAAAATTACTTCAGTTGTTAGATTTGCTTACAGGTACATGTATGTGATATCTTTATGAAATTTATTTACCTATAAGGCTTACAGCTAAATAAAATTTCTTATACCTGAACAATATTCAAATATTTGGAACCGGTGCTTTTAAACTTTTTAAAACTAATATCTCGTATTACTTAGCGAATTTATATGTACTTGCTATTTTTCAAGGCCGTCCATATAATGAAACTTTACATTGTATACCATTTTTGCTATATATCTATCATTCTTAAGGAAATAATAAATGTGTATTTTTATTAAACCATTTGTTACTCTTTATTTATTTGATGCACAGGTACTGATACAGTTTTAACTGTTTCTGACTTCCTTTCCTCACTGTTCAAGCGACGATCCTTTATATGTACAGGTATAGTATTGATAACAGAGTAACGTATCAGCTGTAAGATAATTCTTTCATGAATGAAATACATGTATATTGATAAGGATATATTTCATACATGTACCTTACTCCGTTTTTCATGTTTAGAATCAAAAGAAAACTTTTGCTAAATACTTTCAATTTTGGAGGCAACCATTTAAATGAACAAATTCAAAATATCTGAGGAAAAGCTGTGGAATCTACAAAGAATTCATGGATCAAAAGAATAACATTTTTTTTTTTTTTTTTTGATATTTCATGTCTAAGATAGTGTGCATCTAAAATGCTTATTATCTGTCTCCAAATTCAAAAAAAAAAAAAAAAAAGAAAAAAAAAAGAAAAAAAAAGAAAAGGGGAATAAATTAATAGATAAGACACCCCACACTCCTTAAATTTGGAGGAAAATTTCGTAGCATTTTTTTTTTTCATTTAATGAATATCAACTCTGTGTGATTTTACACTGTACAGGTCCGTGGGAAGCAGTTTCAGTTTGAGGGGGTATCCTCTTTTTTCAATTGGGGAGATAACAAACAAAAAATTCTTGACAAGCCCAAAAAGTATCTAGTAATCTCATACATATGTATATAAGAGTTATCAGGGATTTCATATTTACATGTTACATGTACATGTATACATGCACTTGAAGAAAAACCTTGATCCGGAGACTATCCGCTGTACCACAACGCAAAAATTAAACATTCACTTCGTTCTTGAAAAGTACTTGAAATGTTATCTATTTCAACTCGGAAAAGGAGTTAAATAGAATTAAAAAATACATATTTCTCTGTACTCAATTTTGGAATATTATGATATATAGTACGAAACACTTAGATCATTTGCATAAGGAAAATGTAGACATAATGTATTTGTTTTTGTTTAATAAAAATAATACAAAAAGCACTTGAGTAACATAGTGAATGTAGTGTTTTGCTCCTTTCGTATATTGGTTAAATCGTTATCGATTAGACCTATTGTATATTGGTTAAATCGTTATTGATTAGTTTTTACTCTCATTAACAATGTCCACCTCCACAACACCCGTCACATTACACAGCTGTTTACACTGAAAACTAGCGATTATCTCCCTTCTTCCGGCCCTTCGGGGTTTCACCTGTATCGTCTCCCGAATTTCCTCATTAGGACCAATAGATTTTCTGTAATTAACACACGTCAATTTCTTTTATATCTTGAGCATGATCATTCACATTTTATTTTTACCAAAATAATTCCACATAATTCAAACTAAAGCCCCATAGGAAAGAGAAAGCTGCAAGTTTTATTTATTGTGCGAAACCTTATAATGGTAGTTGAGGAATTTTCAATCCTACGTGTCCTTCTACGGTGTATATCCGTTATGAAAAGCACGATATCATTATAATAACCTTTTGAAGTGTTCCCTGGGGATCCTTTTACTATTACCAACATAGAAATAACGATATTTCGCGTGGGCAATACAAAATTGCCAGGAAAAAAACGGAGAAAACTTACTTAATTTTGACGGATGATGGTTTTACCATTCCGGGTCCTTCCATACAAATCGACCCACCAGTTAGAGGAATAGACAATGGATTGACAAGCTTAACAATCACATCAAATGGTTTACCAACAACTGCGCTTCCCTCTGTCTGACAACACAGATCAAAAGCGATTATTACATTGTATGAGTATATATTGACATAAGATGTAATTTTCCATTAATTCAACACGACAATGTATACTTTCTAAACTGACGGTCATTTTGTTACCTACTTTAAGCTCTAGATTTGGCTGTTCCACTCGAAATATTTCCCGTTTGATGTATACTTGTTGAGTTTCTTTGACTGATGCCATGACATAAACAGAAATATGGCTATCTGCGTCGATAGAATTAAAATATTCTGTTGCCTTTAGACTAATGGACGATACAGAGTCTGAAACGATAAAAGAGGTATTTTATATACACAGAATATAAAAGTTCTCTATAAATTTTAGTGTAAGCTTCGCACTCTTTCACTGTAAGAAACAACTCGCTTTGTAGATGTATTCCCCTAGCAGATCTCTACAATGATTTATATGGGTAAAACACACCTTTATTTGGTTCCAGTACATTGGTAGAACTAGAATCTTTAAGGTCAGAGAGAGGCACAGCGGTGTATTTAGTACCAACGATAATCATATAGACTTCCACGATCCTCGGTTCCTCGCTGGTGTTCAGCATTTTAAGTTCTACGTCGATGTCTCCGGATTTTTGGACGTCGCCATTAAGACTGAACTTCACATCTGTGGCTGAGGGTTTCCTGATTTGAACGTCTGTGCGGCCACAGAATCGGTTGGCTTTCAAAATGACGTCTGCTTTCTCTATGGAATCTGTACAAGAATAAAAATGATAAATGCATGATTTATTCTTTGTCCGCCCGACTGTTTGACTCTACTACATGTGACTAGTCTTTATCCATTTGAATGTTTTATTCAGAAAAAAATCTGAATGTTTTGGGCTTTCGGTTTAAATAAATAAACGACTGGGTTTTATTGTGCAAAACTACTAAAGATTAACTCTTCAGTTTTATACTACATATACATGTAATCTAAATATTGACTTCAGTGTACATGCTAAGTTTCGGGAAAATCTATAGTCTGGCTATATTTAAGGGCCATCTCAAAATACAGGGGCGTCTCCATATGAGTGAAAAATTCTCGAGAGGGACGCTAAACAACATACACACAAACAAACAAAATACAGGTTTATTTATAATAGGATTGTATAGAGACATGCTATTTTTTGTACTTCGAAGCAAATTATAATAAGATGTGCATGTGAAACACTAATGCACCTGTATGGCAGCTCAAGACCAAGGTAATTTTTTTTTTTCAAAAGTAGGTCAAACGTCAAGAGTTCAAAAATGTTGATACCAAAAGAAAGGTTTTGTTACTAGGAATACACATCTGAAATATGGAAAATTCCTAACACCAACCATTCAGAAAATATGACCAAGTTTAAAGTTTTTCAAAAATAGGTCATACTCCAAGATCAAGGTCATGAAGAAAAATACATGTATCTTGGTACCAAAGGAAAGGTCACTTATCACCAGGAATACATAGTGAAATATGAAAGCCCTAATTATAAAGCTATCACCAAGCGTTCAAAAGTTAAAGACAAGGTTAAGTTTTTTTTCAAGTGTAGGTCAAGCTCAAAAGTCAAGGTAACCGATAAAAGTAATGTCAAGGTTTATTTTTGGTTAAATTCTGCAAAAGGAGGTCAATCTCCAACGTCAAATATGTTGGTACCCAAAGAAAGGTCTTGTCACAAGAAATATACACATGTGAAATATGAAAGCACTAGCACCAACCATTCGAAGGTTTTTGGCAAAGTAAAACTTTTTGCGGACAAACAGTTTAACAGACAGACTGACGGACGAACAGATCAAAAACAATATGCCATAAATCATCGATAAAAATACTACAATAGATTTTTGCTCAAATTGTATCAGTATTACTATATTATACATTATTTAAAAATACACAAAGGGGGCATTTTAAAATGTAAAAAAAAAGAAGAATATTTTTAAGGAGTATTCCTAAAGGTTATAGATTCTATAGATTCATACAGAAAATAAAAAAAAAAAAATATGTGAAATCTGCAAATTTCAATGCTTAAAATTAATTTTAAAAGCATATATTGTAATCCTTGTAAATACTGTAATCCTTCTAAAGAGCTTCCGTTTATCATAATGTTTATCATGATGTTCATCAACCTTTCAATTCAAAAAATAGTACAAATTTGTTGTTTAGACAAAGTTTTTTGATTTGAATTATTCATGATTTGTTCTGAAAAAGAAAATAAGTCGCTTCTTAGTACCAGTCAATGGATTATCCGTAAAATTTAATCAACTTGATCTACTAAATCAAAATGTTACCTGCATCATGTTTATATTTGGATGTGACGTCATCTCGAGATATGGTATTGACTGCTTTGGTACTCATGAACTTTCCAACTACGTCACAGTCTTTATACACGGGTTCCATATTACCGTCGGCGTCTACAGTCCAATACACGCGGTCCCCATTCACCTCCGCAAACAAGAAGTTGGTGTCGAAACCCAGATACAATTCTCCATTATGTATTGCCCGAACGGAACAGGGCCCACAAGTGAACACACCTTACAAGTTATAAGTAAAATAATATACGACTATCACAAACAAGAATAGTAAACTTAACTTATATAAAAAAATCCTTTTTCGACAGTTAATTTTTTTCATCTTCTCATCAAAACTGAATCTTGCAAATAAAAAAAATCAATTACTGTAAAATTTATTGATTTTAAAAAAGGAGCATCGTTTGTGATATTTATTTATTAAGAAGTGGGTTCAGAGTCTAATTCAAGGGATATTTCATAGGATTCCTTTCCCAGAGCGACTAATGTTAAGTGTATTTATATTGTTATAATGTAAAGCAACGAGATAATCTGTGTACATTTAAATCAATACAATGTTTGTTACTTGAGAATTTATTTAGAATACTTGCTGGAATGCAATGAATTATTGACAAATAATCCGGAATCTAGGAACGGAATTAACTGTCATAATCCCGTAAAAAGAAGACATGTTTAGTTAAAGTTTCAGAAATAATTTGATAAGCCACTCTTATCTGTCAGTCTTGGATTTGAATGGTTTACACAATCCAATTTTGATAGATTTACTAAGGAAAAGAAGAGACACAAAAGAACGATTGATTGCCGCCATAAAGAAAAAAAAAACCTGCCGAGATAATTCACTCATCCGGCGGTCCGATGGACAGACACACGAGAGTTGTTTTGGTGGAAACTTAAATGTCTAAATGATTGCTTTTGTCATTAAATGAGCTCAGACTCACTAAGACACCAAAAAGAAACGGTGGAAGCATGCACTTGCTTCAAACATGCAACCTTTGCTATCATATAAAGAAGTTTTTTTTCACAAATGTACATTTAGTGATAAATCCTTAAGTACAAATAAAACAATTGTTACCAACAGATGTCCTGTGTTTTACTCTGACATGGTGAGCCCCCCCCCCCCCCCCCCGAAAAAAAGAATAACCGTTCACATGAAACAATACCTTCGTAACACTCCTGTGGTGTTGAATCAAACGCTTGCCAACCATCGTATCCATCTGGAAGGTCTGGCCGCCGAAACCAGCTCTCATTCCAAACATGGAAATCCCTAAGAATGTATTAAACATATCAAACATGGAAATCCCTAAAAATGAATTAAACATCTCAAACATGGAAATCCCTATGAATGTATTAAACATATCAATCATGGAAATCTCTAAGAATGTATTAAACATATAAAACATGGAAATCCCTAAGAATGTATTTAACAAATTGAACATGGAAATCCCTAAGAATGTTTTTAACAAATTAAACATGGAAATCCCTATTAGAATGTATTAAACATATCAAACATGGAAATACCTAAGATTATAATAAACATATTAAACATGGAAATCCCTATGAATGTATTATACAAATCAAACATGGAAATCCCTATGAATGGTTCATACATATAAATCATGGAAATCCCTATCCCTTATGTATCTAACATATTAAATATTAAAAAATTCACAAGTACCGAAGATCAAGGCAACTAAAAGCACAAATCCATGTCCGGAGGTATACTGTATCACAAATTACGTCTAGATCGGGAAAGTTAGCTCAAGTATGCCAATAGCAAAATAGATGTTAAGAAATGTTTTTAAATCAAAGGTATTTATGAATTATGTGATTTTATATCATAACTGTGAACTTCAAAATGATTATCTATTGATAATCGAAATGGTATTTACTTATGAAGCACACTTAACCTTTAATTCTCTCACGTGGCAACTATAATGTTCTAAAATAACTCTGCTTTATTGTTAAAACATGATAGAAAAATGTTGAAAACATAACGAAATTATGTTTTTATGAACATATTTTGGAACGCACTTGAAAAATGTACTCTGCTCCATTGCTTTTTAATTAATAAACAAATAATTATGACGTCATAAAAACAATATCCTTAGAGAAAAGGATATTTGTTTGATATTTCATTTTGAAAAATGGAAGGTTAAAAAGGACAAAGAACAAAAAATAAATAAATTTGATATATACTAGTACTGTACTTGCCATTAACTTTTTATTTCACGATGATATCGAACTTATAAACGAATTATCAGAACGATATACATTTCAAAATATTGGATTCTTTTTTAAAATTGCGCAGTGCTTAAACCATTTTCAGTAAAAATATCTTGATTTAAATAATATTTATTGTTTAACATATCTTCTAGGTTATGTTTTAATAGACTTCACATTGTTGGACTTAACAACATAAATCAAAAGAGATTATAATTATGTCAGTTTAAAAGCAATAATTAACCAGATAGTATCATCCATCATTTTTCTAGGCCTCCCTTCCGGCGTCCAGAAGTTGTCGATTTGTATACTGTAATCACTATCGTGTGCAGACCGGAAATTAGTGACACATCTTGTCGGTATCCCAAGAGCTCTAAATACTGTAACAAAATACAAGGCTAATCAATGCAAACAAGGAAATGTGACACTATAATGGATAAACAGAACATCCCGAGTGATTTCTTTTAAAATAAAAATAATTGAACCAGGCCCTCTCAAATACCACACCCAAATACTGAATAAAGCGTCATATTCTCTTTTTTAAGAGCAAACATTAATGCTTAGCATTTGAAATACCTGTTGTTGCTATGGCAGAAAACGTCCAGCATTGTCCAAACTTAACCCCTTTCCTCTTTTTCAAAAATTCTTCTAAGATTGAAGCACTTCCATTCCATGCGTAGGGGGCTACGCCATCCTCGTATTTCCCGGACCAGTTTCCGACCAATACCCCGCCATCTCTCTCATTATTGTTAATCTAGTTTGGATCACAAGGCAATATCATACTATAATAGCATTATCTTAGTGTGTAGGAACTAAAATGTGTTGAAATAAAAAAAAAACCAGTTGTGATTGAGTTTGCGTAATTAATACTGATGATTTTTTTTTAACTCTTTGTCATCAAAAGGATTTCCCTCTTGTGTTTGTGACCACCAACTTGGCGTGGATTGTTTATACAGCTTTCTGTTCTTTTGCATTATTTTATGATATTTTCTTTGTAATATACCTTAGGGGGTGGCATAGTTCGATATCTAATATTGTTAGGAATGTATTAAACTTACCACTCGACTGAGAGCTTTGACTACCAAAAGTGGATTTCCTCTGGCAGGATCGCCGAGTTCAGATTTTTCCATCATCGATAGAGCAGCCATCAAACAAACATCATCAAACTAAAATTACAAGCGTAATTTTTATTCATCAATTTATTATGTATCATCATACCTTCACAATGTTGAATATCATAGATATGGCAGCACTAATGATATCAATTTAAAATTGTTTACGATTGTGAGTCTGTATTTTTTTTTTACTCAAAAGAATGCATGCGCCTGAGAAAGAAAAAGACATAGCAATCTCTACAAAGTCAATTGCAAATGTTCTTTACAACACATAATCATGATTGATTGATTGCATTTTGTTTAACGTCCCTCTCGAGAATTTTTCACTCATATGGAGACGCCACCACTTGCCGGTGGAAAGCTGCAAATTTTGTCCTATACTCGGCACTTACGGCCATTGAGCAGTGAGGGATCTTTTTCGTGCCAGCACCCACTGCGACACGGGACCTCGGTTTATACGGTCTCATCCGAAGGACCGGTCTCCACGTCCCACAGTGGGATTCGAACCCGCGACGTAAGGATCAACTCCTTACTTCGCGACTCTAGAGCAGACGCTCTAAGCACTGCGCCACGCAGGCGACCATAATCATGAAAATGAAGGATAGGGATCATCAGCATAACAAAATCAAAGGTAATTTATGTGTAACTGTCTTAGTTTAGCTAGAAAAAAAACTCCCATTTTGTCTCATTAAAACCGAAGCAATCTTCCTGTTGAGCAAAACAAAACAAAAAAAATTGTAAAACTAAAGTGTATCAAAAGAAAACATATGTTCACTGTAATATTAAACTGTAAGATACAATAAAACTAAAGTAGACCAAGTGAATATCGTTGATTTTAAACAAATTTTATACTGCTTAAATCGGAGAGAATAAACAGCAAAGGAATTTTCTCAAAGGTCTTGTCAAAAGATCTTACACATGCCTGACTTCAAACACATGATACATCATGATTCTTTTGATTTAAATGTTATTAAAATACATTTTAATCGGGTCAAAGATGTCAAGGTCAGTGATTCTGATGCTTTAAGGAAGGTCTTTCACCCCTCGCCAATCATTTAGAATACATTATAGATATTTAGAGATAAAAAGAATCATATGTTATGGTTCAAATCATACAAAGTATTCTTTCCCAAGTGGCTCAAAGGTCAAATTCTTGTTGTCAGTACCCTACAATGTAAAAAAAGAGATAGTGTGATAACACACATTCTTGGGTTCAATAACCCCTAGTATTTCTTTTGAGAGTCTTGTGAAAGCCACATATATTCCTGATATCAAATACATGTACATTCTTATGATTCAAATAAAATGGTAAAGATAACGAACAGTGATCAATCTCATATATCCAGAAAAAAATACGAATAAACACGGACCCGAGATACACCATAGGAGAGATATCGATTAAATGCCGAGAAGGAGTAAGCATCTCCTGTCGACGGGTCATACCAGCCGTAGGTCCTCTGTATTGGTCAGATAAACGGAGTAATCTACAGTCAAATTAGTATAAAATCAACGGCCTAAAAATAAGGTCAATCATAATACAACCCAACGATAGGTTGTATTTCCAAACAAGGTTTTATAATGACCATAGATTTTGCAAAATGATGACTTGAAAACCCTACCGGGGTATATCATCAACTCAGCCGTCAGTAGTCTACTTCGGTTTGAAAAATGATTGTACTCAGAACTTGTTCTTGCGTACCGAATCAGTTGGGAGTCTTAAAGATCATATAAAGATGATAGTAGAACATTACTACATAATAGGGAAAGTTGACACTGGAGCAGCAGAATTCACTTTCTGACGTAAAATTAAGTTGTTAGTTGTCTATTAACGTCTGTAGGTGATTAAAACATCCTTGTATAAAACAGATGTGGCAAACTCTGTGGTGTCTTTTATTTCGAGTTCAAAGGGATGTATGGTAAAATAGACAGACGGACAGACAAACAGACTGATAAACTCCAGGTAAAGTGTTCCCTATGTAAGTGCTGCTCGGTGCCCAAATCAAACAATCTGCTAGAACCAATATACAATTATATTTCATCACATAGCTTTTCCGTATCTTTTAAATTTGAACTGATCATGAAAGAAACTTGATGCAGCATGATGTTTACATCCACTGAATATTTTCTCATTATTTGGTTGCTGTTTATCTGAAGTAATAAACACAATTTACTTCTAAACTGTAAAGGTCTGATCTTTAAAGCCTTTAGTATGAAGATTTTTAAAAAGTGTCGAAGGTCAACTGCTTTACGGCTATTCCATCAAGATAACATTTAGAAGACACCACAGAGTGACACATCTGCTTCACATTTGGATATTTTAATAGAAAAAGTCGTTAATGTTAACCTAACAACAAACTTAGGATAAACGTGATGACTTCAACTTTTCTATCGTCAACTTCCCTTACTTGTGTAGCAATATACCCTTATCACTTGCATATGGGGCTTATGTCCCGCAGTTGATTCGATACGCAAGAGCAAGCTCTACGTTCGATCAATTTTAAAACGAGGCAAGCTATTACAAATTGATGAAACATGGATATCAACAGCCTCCATGGCACCTGAACCCGCCTCTGATGTTTTTGGAAATTCGTGTTTGCTCCCAATTTGTATTGTTTAAATGAACTATGAGCTCGAATACTGTTTGATATCTCCATCAATACCACATTTTTTTTTTTACATACGTTTACCGCACTTTACATGAAAAATTAAAGACAGATATAAATAAATGTATACTTAATAATAAAGTAACTCTGTTTATACGGGTATTAAGCAGATAATGTATTTTTTCTGGAATGTTATATCGTTAACCCTTGTATGAACAAACATTTTTTTTAAATATGTTAATCTTATACATCTGTGTTTTTACGAGAATAAGTAAGGGTGAGCAGGTTTTGGGAAGAGGGCATTTATTGTCAATGAAAATACTAAAAATGACGATGTTATTGTTCTAATTGCACTACACCTATTTAAGTAATATGCAAAAATATTCCAACAGATATTTTTTACTGCATTTTACATATGAATTAAAAGAAACATACATGTATTGCGCTATATAAATGTAAATCTTATTTACATTTTCAATATGGCTGTAATACTGCCGACTCGGCGTTAAAAATATAAATAATCAACATATCTTATACACAAAAATACAGTAAGCAAGATCAAGTCCGGTGGGGATAATAAATCTACAGATGATTAAAAAAACTGGTGCAATGACGAAGTTATTTACTCTTCTGGATGAATTCAAAAGAATTTGTTGTACGTAAATACATGTATAATTTATAAATTAAATGTAAGACATAATATTTATTTCATTTTTTTTTCTTCTAAATAGGAAAAAAATAAACAAGCATTCTGAGAGTATTGCATTAGCAATACTAGTCCCCTACCGGCAAGTGTAATCTGGTTCCCGTTAAGAATTGAAAATGCCATAATTCCGTCAAAAATTAATGAAGCGGGACGAAATGCAAACTTGATCTATAACTAATCCAGGTAAAGTCACATACCAAAAATCAGCTCAATATCTACAAGCGTTTAGAAGAAAATTGCAGAAAACCCGTAAAAATTGAAAAGGCCGTAATTCCGTCAAAAATCAATGAAGCGGAACAAAATGCAAACTTGATCTGTAACTCATCAAGATACACTCACATACCAAAAATCAGCTCAATATCTGCAAGCGTTTAGGAAAAAAGTGCGGAAAACCAAGTGGGACAGACTGAGAGACAGACAGACAGAGGGACAGACAGACAGACAGACAGACAGACGGACAGACTCAGAGGAAACCTATAGTCCCCTCCGGTTTCACCGGTAGGGGACTAATAAAAGGAAAAAAAGTAATGATAAATGTGTATTTGTTGACCTGAGCAAAATTCCAAGGCCGAACACAGAATTTGCCGACGGTTCCCATCCAGATTCGCCCCGTCTCATTCAGGACATATTCTTCTCTGTGAGTCTCTTCTTCCAAATAGACCGAGTCCGCTGAAAAACCGAGATTTAACGTTTATTAAGAAAGATTTGTTGAAACATAAAACACATGCTCGTAGTATCAAGAGGAGGGGGTATGAAATATTCATTGAAAGGCTGGTTACCCCCTCCCTTTTTGTAGTAATGTCAACTCTTCCAGTGCTAATGCTTTCAAATTTTTTGTCGGAATAGCTGGAACCTACCCCCAACTCCCCTTTTTAGAAACAGGATTTTTGAGTTTGGACAATTTTCCCATTTTGGCATTTTTTTACAGGTACATGTAAATTATCAATCATTTTTCAGGTATTTTCAGGTGAGTTATCAATTATTTTTCTGTTTGACCCCCCTTCCCCTCCCCACATACACTTTCAGAAACAATGTTATGTGTCTCTAATACAAGTAAATATTTATCAATAAAGTGAGTCCATTAAAAACGAAAATAATCTGACATGGAAAAAATCACGTAGGCACTTTCTTACAAAAACCAGGGCATAAAGTCACTGTTATGATAGGGATAGATTAAGTCTGTTGCAAACTGAAGTATAAATTATTCCTCAGTGGTTAAACAGAGATAGGCTTCAAGAACAAAAGTCTGCCAAAGCAATCACTTTGGGTAATATTCCAGTCGACATCAGAATTAATACATTTAACATTTAGACAAAACAAATAAAGCACGTGTACTCTACGGATTCCAAAGACTGTCCACATATCAGTTAGCGTGTTTGCATTTCGATTACCACCCCGGGCAATCTATTTAGAAATAATTACTGAATTGCCTACAGGTTGCAAACCTTAAATTGGTGAATTTTGAGGATTTGATAGTTATGTATAACAAACGACATCAAGTTATTTGACAATTTCAGAATTTGAAAAAACAGAAGAAACTAAATTGTGTAATAATCAGGATCCCTTAAAAGTGCAACTTTGGTCTTGTAAATACAATTTTTTGAAATAAATTTTAACTGTTAAATTATTGAAATGCTTTATGATAAAATGTAATTTAATCAATTTAACTTGAGATAATTATCAAATCTTGTTAAGTGGGAAGCGCACATTAGTTTTGGATATCACTAGATGTTTCTGTAGTTTGAGTGTTTCTTTTCTCTACAGAATGAGTGTTTCTTTAATCTATAGTTTCTTAACTCTCTAGTGTGAGTGTTTCTTTACTCTATATTTTTTTCTTTCCTCTACATTAAGAGTGTTTCTTTACTCTATAGTGTGAGTGTTACTTTACTGTAAAGTATGAGTTTTTTTCTTTACTCTGTAGTGTGAGTGTTACTTTACTGTAAAGTATGAGTTTTTTCTTTACTCTATAGTGTGAGTGTTACTTTACTGTAAAGTATGAGTTTTTTCTTTACTCTACAGTAATTTCTTCTATAGTGAGTGTTTCTTTTCTTTATAGTTTTACTCTATATTGTGAGTGTTTCTTTACTCTATAGTGTGAGTGTTTCTTTACTCTATATTTTTTTCTTTCCTCTACATTAAGAGTGTTTCTTTATTCTATAGTGCGAGTGTTACTTTACTCTATAGTATGAGTTTTTTTTTTTCTTTACTCTACAGTAATTTCTTTATTCTATAGTGAGTGTTTCTTTTCTTTATGGTTTTTCTTCACTCTATAGTGTGAGCGTTTCTTTACTCTATAGTTTTTTCTTTACTCTATTGTGTGAACGTTTCTTCACTCCATAGTTTTTCTTTATTCTATAGTGTGAGTGCTTCTTTATTCAAAATTTTTTCTTTACTTTATAGCATAAGTATTTCTTCACTCTAAAGTTTTTTTCTTTACTCTACAGTGTGAGTGTTACCTTACTCTATAGTTTTTTTCCTTTATTCTATAGTGTGAATGTTTCTTTATTCTATAGTATGAGTATTTCTCTACTCTATAATTTTTTTCTCTTTACTCTATAGTATGAGTGTTTCTTTACTCTATAGTTTTTCTTTACTCTATAGTATGAGTGTTTCTTTACTCTATAGTTTTTTTTACTCTATAGTATGAGTGTTACCTTACTCTATAGTTTTTTTTTTCTTTATTCTATATTGTTATGTTTCTTTATTCTATAGTATGAGTATTTCTTTACTCTATATTGTGAATGTTTCTTTATAGTATGAGTGTTTCTCTACTCTATAGTTTTTCTTTACGCTATAGTATATGTTACGTTATACTTTGAATGCTTCTGTACTCTGTAGTATTGAGTTTTTCTTTACTCTCTATATAGTACCTTTCTTTACAGCGTGAGTGTTTCTTTACTCTAACTAGTTTGAGTGTTTCTTTACTCTACAGTACTCATAGTCACTATGAGTGTTTCTTTACTCTTTAGTTTGAGTTTTCCTTCACTCTTTAGTTTGAGTGTTCCTTTACTCTTTAGTTTCTATGTTTCTTTACACTTCAGAGTGTTTCTTTGTATAACTTTTCATAACTATGTTTGAATTTTTCTCAAAAGATCTGTGGAGTTTCAAATCGAATATGCTGGCCATTAGTAAGCAGCCGTGGGAAGAGGAGGGAGACTGATGTGTGCAATTGAACGTGGACACAAATGGAATATATGCCTAACAGTTATTTCCATTCATATGTCGACACGATATATCCCAGTGAGCTTCAAATAAAAGATACCACAGAGTTTGACACATCTGTTTCATATTTGGATATTGTACTAAAAAAGGACGTTAATGGTAATCTAACAACAAAACTTTATAATAAACGTGATAACTTTAGCTTCGCAATCGTCAGCTTCCCTCAGTTGATTCGATACACAAGAGCATGCTCTACGTATGAACAGTTTCTAAAACGAGGTAAGCTATTGAGCAACAAGTTGATGGAACAAGAATATCAACAGTCTCGTTTAAAGTCATTATTTCGCAAGTTCTATGGTCAATTAATACAATGACCTTGTCAGCAAAAAGAAAATCTATCATTAAGTCATATGCTGACTGACGTTTTTTATTCTAATTTATAAGTCTTTATTTACACACTGAATTGTCGAAGGATATTTCCGTTATTTACCGGTCATGACAAGGAGCACACGGCGGGTTTGACCGGTCGGCAGGAGATGCTCACTCCTCCATGGCACCTGATCCAACCTCTGATGCTTTTAGAGGTCCATTTTAGCTCTGCTTCAAATTTGTATTGTTTCAGTGAACTTTTGGGCTTGATTACTGTCCGTTATCTTCATATTTCAAGCATTATAATGTAGAACTTTTTTCCGAGATATTTTCGATAGAGCATGAATATTAATACAATTATTGCACTAACTTCACGTTTTAAAGAAAAGATTAAATTTTTCAAAATGCATTGATCCAAATCTAGAAAAGAGTCTCGACTACTTACATACTTGTTCTAGTATTTGTATGAAAGAAATTTGTAAATACATTCTTATTAATTATATCTTATATCTTTTATTCCCGATTTGTATTCTTTTAATAGACTTTGAACTTGAATACTGCTCGTTATCTCCGTATTTTCTGGATTCATTTATCACTTTATTGACTCAAACTGAATTCAATTGAAAAATATTTTGAAAGTAACGATATCATTTTCGAGCAAAATAGAACGTAATGTATGAAAATGCATGAATTCAGACTTCGCATTCCATAACCGTGTAATGCATATGATACTTGTATCGATTTTTTTTCCTTTTTGCATTAATTTTTTATAAGACATTTTATATGTGTATTTACACATTACGATAAGATAATTACAAAAAAAAATATATTCCAACATGATAAAATGATTGAAACTCTATCAGAGAACTACTAGTTTTTAGATGTTCACCAAACTATCTGTCAACTGCATCAAGTTGTATGTTGTATGTCAAAATATTCAATTTGCATATCAACATGCTTTAGTTGCATGTTATATTTAATGTTGAGGTAATTAAGTTATATGATACCACAACTAAGGTGCATTTTGCTAAAAGGATGTCACATCTGGGCACACCTTTTCCTTTAAAAATAATTACATTTTATGTAATGTTATATTGCATGTAATACAACTGTTTGGCATGTCAACTTAAATTGCAAGTTGGCATTTTTATCTTCCATGTTAACACAATTCAAATGTCCTGTATATTTTTGCCATTATATGCTGTCGTATTTTCTACATTTTAAAATGACATGCATGCAAGATAAATACGTAAACAATCAAATTGTTCTTAAAGCGCATGATAATTATTTTAACACGCAAAATAACGTTATAATTATTATTCTTTGAAAAAGGACAAATTTGACCCAGATCTGTTTCATTTTATTTGCACTGTTGAACAAATACATTGAATATTGACATAATTATACTAATCCACGGATAATAAATTAAATGGGCAGAAATAGACCACTATAAAAACCAAACTTATTCATGTTATGATTTTATACAGAATGTCGAGCTTTTAACTACTATGAAAGTTAAATTTCTTTATTGTTCAGGTACAGATATTTGTATAGGTGACATTTTAGTCTAAAAGTAAATTTTCATTAATGAGAATATATTTTTTGCTTTGAAATTTAATACTGAAAAGCAATATGAATAATTTTATCAAAAGTTGTTTTTATTTTAAGAATATATTTACAAATTTCTTCCTACAAATACTAGAACAAGTTTTTGAAAAAGTATGTAAGTGGTGGAGACTCTTTTCTAGATTTGAAACAATACATTGTGAAAAAAATTATCTTTTCTTTAAAACATGAAGTTAGTGCAATAATTGTATTAACATTCATGCTCTATCGAAAATATCTCGGAAAAAAGTTCTACGGTATTAGCTTGAAATATGAAGATAACGGACAGTAATCAAGTCCAAAAGTTCACTGAATGATCAGATGGAATATATTTTGAAAAAGGTTAAAATACCATAGCTTTATATGGAAATGAACCATTACCTTCACACCACGGATTGAATATGATGAACACATCATCTGGGTGGCAGTGACGACATTTTTGTGGAGTACCATCTTTTGGGCGGTGGACGGTGTCAACAAATAGCTGGTACTTGCCGACTATGGAACTGGCTGATGTACATACTTTGATATTGACTTTCTTTTCATCTATTCCAGTAATCTGATATCCCCAGGTTCCTGGTTGTAGTTCCCGCACCTTATGGACGGATATTACGGTTCCTTTGCTTTGTATTGGCTTTCGACCTGGTAGAAGAAAAAGGTACATACAGCCATATTGTCTTTCTTAACAGAGTGAAACATTCATTCTACCAATTCATATCAACTTTCGTTTTTCCAAGTGATAAAAAGCTGGAAATCCTGTGCTATGCGTAGGAAAATCAAATAAAAAAATATCTAAATTAAATAAAAAGAGTATCGTCTCTTTAAACTTGCAGCGATAAAAAATAATAAAACTGAATGACAAAATGAAAACCATATGAAATAGCCACACATCCTTTCTTTGGAGAGGACTGTATGTTGTTTATTTTGCCATTCAGATCTAGCTCTCTTGTTAAAAATGTAAACTAGTAAAAGAGTTTTAAGTGAAGCAAAAATTCAAACTTTTACGAGCAATCTTAAAACTACGTTACAATCTCTTCGGTTACCCAAATATTGGAACAAACACACAATGCATTTATTAAATGTATTTATAAACGCAGCTGACCTGTGACAAACTGTAGAGTTATAGTGTCGTCCTGCTCTGAGAAGACCCTATCAAAGAGGATACTCATGTCAAATGTCTGGCCTCTCCTCAAAATCAAGTTGGGAATCTCGTAAGAGCTTGTCCGGTGTGCCTCCCGGTTCAGAGTACGCTGAAGGTCCAGGCATTTTGGCTTCAAAAGGATCTCTAGAATATAGAGATACGTTTTTAAAAAAAAATTAAAAAGTAAAGTTTGTTTTACCTGTTTAAGTTTATTTCCCATTGCCAAACATGCTTTTAACGAAGATATTTTGTAGGCAATCATAGGGTCATTAGCTATTAATAAAGACAATAGTTTCAAATTGTATTCAATAAAATGACTTTTATAAAGTATAACGTTTTTAACTGGATTTAAATACTTATTTTAATTTTCTATAATTGCAACTATTTTTGATAGTTTATCATGCCATCTGTTCAAGAAATTTATTCCTTTTTTGCCAAAATAAAACGAACTACATTTATGTCATTTTCCTCATGAGAGACAAACTAGAACATATTATTGCAAATTTGAGGTCTGATTGGTTGGCGCCCTTTCTTTATCTACACATCTGAGCCGTGACCTAATTTATATTGCTGAACTATAAGGATTTTTTTGTTATTCAGATACTGATAACATATTATGTCACAACATTATTCTTCGTTATAAAAATAAATCAATACAATTATACTGTAATAAATATTTTTTATTAAAACTATTTTTGGTCTAAATAGAAGAATGCATAATTATATATTTCAATTTTATACCTTAAGTTTTGTTTTTTTTTTAAGATTTCAATGTTACTTGAAATGTTAAGTACTGAATGTAATTTTTCTTGAAAATAACAAATTTCAATGGAAGTGCAATAAAGGTACATGTATTTATTTTTTCATGCACACAATACACATTATATATATGAAAGTCTGTAATTACGGTATAGTCTAAAATTAGTCTGTTCTTCATATGCTTAATAATGTCCGCCGCTAATTGATGGTTAATTTTAAATACAGGAAATCAGGTAGCAAAATGAAGTAATTGTTATAAAATCACTGATTTACGTGGAATTGACATCGCTATAAATCAATTGTCGATTTTTCTGTTGGAGTTAACCTTTCATTTCGTGATTCCAGTCTTCAGGAAGAAAGAAAATTCTAAATGAACAGAAAGCACTTTGTATTCCCTATCAAAAGGCAATCTATACTGTTTTAAAACATTCTGTGGTAAGGTTTATCGCTTCTTTCTTCTTTGTATCGAAATCGAAGCCGATATTCCCTTCTAACAAGATGCAGCAAAAGATCTATGTCATTTTCCAACATTGCATGTATAATTGCATCGTATTTCATCTCCCTTTTCCAAATTGATGTCTGATATCAAATGCTAAACACTGTAAAATGGCCTTTTTATGCTTCTGTGACTCGATAAGATTCTGGTGAGATTTGGTGCGACATGACGTCATTACTTTTTTCCTTAGTCTCACTTTTCCTTAGAAGTATTGAATGTAATTTTATTGTTTCAGACCACTGAATGGTTCACAACTGGAATGTGGAATGGGTAACTGGGATGTTTTATGATCGAGTTAAATTGGTCTAAAGAATGAAATAAATTTAGCATTTATTTTCGACATCAGCAAATTTATGCGTTTAAGTATTTTTTCTCTCTTGTTATATTTTAATATCCACGTTATCAAACAATAAAATACCATAATCAAAACATTTGATACCCTTTTAATTCATTTTTAAAGTAACAATCTTTCACAGAGTGAGGAAATCTTACATGGAATTATGACATTCATATTCTGAAACGTTTTCTGAATAAGCTGGAAGTTACAATGAGTGCGACGAAAATGAAAGAAAAATTAAAGCAACTATGAGTTCATCGTTGCGTGCCACGGTAAACACTGAACACAATATTCTCTTATGGAACAGAGAAACCAATTAGTGGCAACTCTTGGATAATATCATAGTGAGACACAATATTATAAGAACACGCAAGGAAAACATCAGATCATTTTCAGAGAAGGCGTAAATGCTTTATTTGCAGAGGAAAATGTATAATAATTGCTCTGTTAACCAAGTTCTTTTTTTCAGTTTCCCTGGTGAAATAAATGTCACGGTTTTAAAAGTATGTCAACTACTGACTAGAGGCATATATACCCAGCCATCAAAGAAAACCGGTCATTTACCAACGATAAAACAGATCCTTGTGAAGTGATAGTGAAAGGAAGTTATGAAGAGGATTCTCAGTGAAATCTGAGAACATGAACATTTGCTGATTGATTATCTAATTGAAGGATAATTGGTAGGCTTATCTTTGTCATGAAAATAATTTTTATTATCGCCGATGCATTTCAGTAACAATAGGTCATCATTTAGATCGGCGACATTTTCCATAATGAACATTCAGCAGAAGAAGAATAAAAACACAGAAATAAAATAACCATTTTCTGAGTAGAAAAAGATGAGAAATTGTTTGATGGAAATCTATCGGTGATCACATATTATATATGTACATGCACAAGGAAGCATCGTTTAAATGAATCTTTTATTTTTTGCCTTGTCATTTGTATATCTAAGATGTGTGATGGTTAAATTGTGGTTATTCTTATCTTTTTTTTTGTTCTTAGAGCCATTTGCATAGTGTAATTTAAAAATTATTAACAAAATAATGACAACATCGGTAATGCATCTATATAAATGTATTTTTATGGGCTTGATAGTGCAGAAATGGTATAGGGCATATTATTCTCTCCATAATTCTGCGAGTTATCTTCCATGGATTTGAAATTTTGAAATCGACGTATCCTAAATGCATTTATTGTGAATCCGCTATTAATTTACCTGAGAAAAAAAAAAGAGAATTGGCGATTCATAACCTAACGGAAATCCATTGCATAGATACATGTGCGGTAAAATGCTACAAATTGGCATAAACATCTCCCAGTATTTATATGATTTTGAACACGTAGCGGGAGACTGTTAAGTGATTGTTCCCTTGTCAAAGACCAAACTCGATTTAAATCAATGTTGTATTTGTGTTTGTGTTAATTATATTTAAAGTATAACCACAAGTACTAAAATTAATAGCGGTCAGACTACAGGTGGAGATGACAGCTGTCAGACGCAATTTTTTTTTTTTTTTAATTTTTTTTTCATTGATTTCAAAGTTCAACATCAAATACTGTATTCAAAGTTCTTTTAATTTAATTTTTTTTATTCTGTTATATTGTGCAAGATCATCTTCTTAAAAAAAATTCTCTGCTTTTGTTTAAATTTTAGTATAATTGTTAAAACCGTTGGAATCATCCATCGACACATTGATATGCCAAGTATGTGAAGGCTTCATTAAAAAAAATGCATGTATTTGATCGCCAGGAGTGTCCAAGGACAATCTGACACCATTGATTACAATATCTTTATTGTACTTTTACAGATTCCTGATAAGGCAGCTTTTTGGACGTCTGAGAACTAGGTACTGAGTCTTTTATAAGGATGCTGAAAAGAAGTTTCAGTATTCACAAGAAAACATTGATGTTGCCATTAATTTAATGAAGTAAAATCTTGATAATCAAACTGCATCGATTTGTGTGATAAAGGCATACGTCTGAATGATCGAGACTATAGTCGAGAAGATTATCGGAAAGCTTCTAACCGGATGAAAATCGAACAAAAACGATACCGTTTTAAACTTTATCATTTCCTCAAGTAACTATTGGCCGCATAAAATATAATTTAGAATCAGACACATGTATCACCTATCATCAAAATTATATTTGACTTAATGAATATAAAATACAAACTTTGTAACGTGTGTTTTTATGCGAGAAGTAAAATTTGATGTTCTAAGAAAGTGATAAGTAACTTTGTATATTACATATGAAAAAAACATATATATTTTTAAAGATGCACTTCATGGAAGTAAATGTATTGTGTATTTCGTAATTTATAAAAGGAAAGAACGTTCTGATGTATAATCTTTCTAACGTATAGATAACCTTTAATTTTGAATAACTTCTCCCACCTCAATACTTAAACTTATACGTATAGAGCAGTCCGGTCCTCCGGGATGCAGTAATATTTGAAAATGCAAAGAATAGAATCCGAAAGCCCAATGTGACTGCATTAAAAGTATGCAGAGTATTGGGAATGTACTATTTTTTAACGATAAATTAATCAATTTACTGATGTATTTTCAAATGTAAATCCTCATCCTTAAATAAATTATAAATAACAGTTTTTCCCTAACTTTTCCCTATTTGTGTAACAATATACATATATATTTACATTCAACATGACATTGTATTTTGCCTATAAAGTGCGAGGAAAGCCACGGCATTCAAAACACCATAACACGGACAGGGCGTCAAATGGTTAAAGTGTGTGTTTTATTTTGACGTCACAAACGTTGAACGCCGTGAAAGTGCAACGTCATAAGCGAAGATCAAAATTCACGCTAACATTGAACAGAAGCTGTTGCAACTGCTCTTCCATTAATTAACTTAACCGAAGGATAATACAGAAATTTTGAAATATGAATCACATTTGCAGTCAAGGTAAGGAGTTAAAAAATGTAAATTAATACAAGCATTAAATCATTAATTTTTGAAAGATAAAGTCCCATAACTACAACGGTGTGTTCAAACAAATTTTCATAATGCGCTAACGCGCGTTACTCAATTTGTTTGCCCACACCGTTGCAGTTACACGAAGACTAGATCTTTCAAAAAATAATGATTCAATGCTTAAATATTTCAAATGTCGAATTAACAATATTGAATTTGCGAATCCTGTTTAAAGTTATCGTGTATTATTATGAATATTTGGGCAAGTCCCATAAACAGGTCGAAGAAATGTTATTTTTTCTTCTGGGATATCTAAACCAATTGTGGATTCTGCAATATATTAGAAGTGCAAAGGACTATACAATCTCCGTAACCAGCAAAGGGCAACATTGATCCAAAACTGTATTTTTTTTCAAATACGGTGGGGAAGTTTTCCTCTTAAAAAAGAAGGTATTCTACGCGGAATATCACTTAAAACACGTGAACACAATGAAGAAGAGCATGTGTAACCGATAATAAGATTAATTAATTAATCAATTTTAAAAATTGACAGCTTAAGTCAAAGTAATGCAAATCACAATTTTCAATAAATGAAACAAAGCATAATTTGAA